ATGGGTGGAGGCAGATGGCTGAATTATATGATAAAAAAAGGTTTAATTATGCAACTGAATACAAAAGGTGTGAGAGTCAAATTTAGATGTATGTGTTTATTAAAGACAAGGGGAAAAAAACAGTATCAAGATCAGAACACTGTCCAATAAATAACAGACCTGTGATAGGACATATGTTTTCCAAACACTGTCTGGGACTGTTGATGTCTCTTAATATAACACACACCCCCACATCAAACGCATATCTGCTAACAACACTTGGAACTCTTTGAAAGACAAAGTGTTTACCATTTCTATTTAGTGCACAAAACCTGTCTGAGACTGTTGATATGTCCTAATCTAACACACACTTCCGCATCAAAACACATATCAGCTGAAACACACTTGGAACGCTTTGAAAGACAAAGAGTGTTTATCATTCTATTTAGAGCAGATGACAAACCTCTTTCTCTTCATGTCTCATGAGAAACAAATACATCACGTTTGTGCATGGCAACATTTGTCCTTTAAAGCACAAAGGACATGTTTGCACTGATTGTGTTCAGTGTGTTCGAAGCACCAGTGTGTACACGGCCATCTACAGTGATAAAACACATTGGATTAAAGCAAGCAAGGATTAAAAACGTTTAGCTGTAAGGAAGCAGGACTGACAAGTGCATTTTATGTGACTGTTAATTTGAAGTGGAAATAATGTAAATGGCTTGTGAAGGTTACTGTGTCCTGCATTGACAATGAAAACACAGATTACTTCAGGGCACTGACCTTCCTAGTGAAAACAGATTTCTATTTTGCATTTTTTATAGTTTATTATTTTTTATTACAATTTATATTCAATAATTCCAGTGAAAAATTAAACTAATTTAAGTAATTTTTTAAAAGGTATATATATATGTTTTTAAGAATGTCTTAGTATTTGGTGTGTTTTTCTTTTGCTATAATGACATTAGTGCTAAAGCTCAGACTTCACAAGTTTGTAAACACCAATGATAATGATGATCCATGATGACCAATGATGATCCAAAGAGCATCTTGTGTGTCATTGTATAGGACATATGGTCATATGTACAAAGGAGTTTACAGTGTAAAGGAAGCGTAGCCCTATGATTTGATATGAGACCTAGAAATAGAGAAGAATCTTACATATTTGCACATAATCATTAAAGCTTCTGATTATTTACAATTTTAAATGGGATTTTAAATCACAGGCCCCACTATATATGCAAACAGTATTTCAATCCCATTCAATCTTCAACAGAAATCTTTTTCATAATTCCACAGAACATGAAACATTTAAATGTATATGATGCAAGTCTTTGAAAAATGACAGAGTATAAACGAGAATAAACCGACTTCTCATTTTTCTTTAATGATCTCAATCAGACCATCAATTCACACATATGGACGAATACACATCTGTGTTTCTCTGTGGAGAAAGAGCCTTTCTGAACTGTTCAAAAATGCTAAATCTATTATTGAAGACTTTTACATTTTTCATGCAGAAGGCGCCTCTTTTCTTCTGGGCCCATTATACTTCTCATGTAGGCCTCTACACCACTTCTGCCACATTTAAAGCATAAAAGATGCATTCAGTCCCGACTCGGTTTCTAGGGAAATGGTTTTATTGGCTAGTATTCTTGGAGTCGAGCTCTAATTTAAACAACGCAGACTCTGTGCTTCAGGTATGTTTTAATAAAGGAACCTGCCTGTTGAATCATCAGCTCATTATGGGTGAAAACAACTCCATTGGCAACATGAGACCGTTTCAGTCACAAGTTATCTGACACAGAAGACAGGTCAGACATAAACATTCTGGTTTTCAAGATAAAGCGGATCGCAAACATGTTTCTGGAGACTGAAATATGAAAAAAAAAAGATGCTTTATTTGTTATTCTTCTCATAAACTGGCCAGTCTGACAGATTTATTCTATTGTTCAGTAAATCAAGGTCTCAATGGGAGCTTTCGGGTGTGACAGCTTTCATCTTAGCAACATAACAACACCTGAAATGAATCAAATTTGACCAGTTTGTGAGAATGTAAACGTTAGATTTAGTAGCCGGAAGATGATCTGTGAAACTTTTGAGCAACAGGCTAAATTAGTGTGTCAATGTCACACAAAGGTCAATATTTATAGTCTCAAACAATGCCACTGTGTCACTGGACTCTATTAAACAAAATCTCCACAGACGTCTAAAAATCCTCTCTGTTCTAAAATAGACAGAAACTGCTTTCCAGAGGTGAGGTGTAATGAAGTAGGCCAAGGACTGCCACAGAAAATAGACTAAACACTAAAACTGGCCTGGATCAAATCAGGTCTTTGAGAGAAAATTAAAAAAGGAGGTTAACTAGAATCTTCGAAGTCACTGGTGTGTCCCTGGGGGGTAATGTGAGGAACAGGCCCCATGTGCACTGATAGGTGCAGGAGACTCAGTGCTAGAGGTGCAGCGACATCATCATTTTACCAGACAGGACACTCATTCAAACGCTATAGCTGGCATATTTATCAGTGTCAAAGAAGAGAAACTGTTTGTTTTTTAGCAACAGGGACTGTAATGTTTCAGTAACTGTAGTATTCAGGGAAGATCATGTGACTAGATAAATAAACCTAAAAATGGCAGAAGAATTCGGAAGAGGATTAGGGCCAACCAATAATAAAAAAATAAAACCATCTCGAGATTAAAGTCATTATAATGCGAAATTAAACTTGTTAAATTTCGAGAGAAAAAAAGTCGAAATACAATCTTGAGAATAAACTCATTAAATATCGAGAATAAAGTCGTTGTGTTTCGAGAAAAAACTCGTTAAATTTCAAGGAAAAAAACTCGAAATACAATCTTGAGAATAAACTCATTAAATTTCGACGAAATTTAATGAGTTTATTCTCAAGATTGTATTTTGAGTTTTTTTCCTCTCGAAATTTAACGAGTTTTTTCTCTCGAAACACGACTTTATTCTCGAAATTTAATGAGTTTATTCTCAAGATTGTATTTCGAGTTTTTCTTTCTCGAAATATAACGAGTTTTTTCTCGAAACACAACGACTTTATTCTCGAAATGTGAGTTTATTCTCAAGATTATATTTCGATTTTTTTTCTCAAAACACGACTTTATTCTCGATAGTTTGTTCTCAAGATTGTATTTCGACTTTTTTTCTCGAAATGTAACGAGTTTAGTTTCGCATTATAATGACTTTAATCTCGAGATGGTTTTATTTTTTATTATTGCTTTGGCCCTAATCCTCTTCCGTAGTAGAAACACCTTGGCTCTGAGCATTTTTTTAGAACCATAAATGATGCAACTTATTACAATGAACTGCAGAACTACACATTTAGTATTGTGGCACTGCTAATACTGTTGACTTCTGCATGATATGCTTATTGATATAAACATGTTTAACCAACATTCGTAAGTAACTTTTTATAAAAGCATCAGGTAAATGATTAAATATGAATTTAAAGGAAGTCTTTGGCAACAGGTTTGCCTGAGACATCCATAGACAGTAAAAGAAAGGAGACATCACCACATATCGGCAAGTGTGTTTGCTTCAGCTGCAGGTCTAGTGTCACAGAACTGTTTTGGTTATCAGCTGTTCAGTGTACTGAGAACTGATGGCAAGAGTTTTTTAGTAAATCAGAAGAATCAGCTCGCGAGAAAAAAAAGGTTGGGGAAAACCCCATCCATAAATTTAACACACTACTATTCAAAAGATTTTGAAAAGCAGATCACAGACTAGATTTATTTGATACACTAAAAACAGTAATATTGTGAAATATTGCAGTTTAAAATAACTGACTTTTCATCATCATTATTCCAGTCTTCAGTGGCACATGATCCTTCAGAAATCATTCTAATATGCTGATTTGCTGCTCAAGAAACATTTGAAAAAGGTTGCGTTGATTAATATTTTTTGCTGAAACTGTGATACAGAGAAGCTCAAAAGGAAAGAATTTATATATCAATTTTTTGGCAACAATTTCAAAATCTGACTTTTGATCAATTTAATGCATCATTGCTGAACAAGTATTCATTTTCAAACTTTTGAATGGTAGTGTAAATGTTAAACAAAGGAATATTATTTACTCACCCTCAAGTGGTTTCAAACCTGTATTAATTTCTTTCTTCTGCTGAACACAAAGAAAGATATTTTGAAGAACGTCGGTAATCAGACAGTTGATGGACCCCATTGATTTCCATATTAGGAAAAAAAATACTATGGAAGTCAAAGGTCCATCAACTGTCTGGTTACCAACCTTCTTCAAAATATCATCTTTTGTGTTCAGCAGAAGAAATTAATACAGATTTGAAACAACTTGAGAGTAAGTAAATGATGAAAGAATTATAATTTTTAAGTGAACTATTCCTTTAAGACTGAAGAGAAAGCCGCCCCCTGTGGGAAATAAACGTCATCACTTTGAAGAAAATGCATGAATTATAATGCATTTAACCATTTATTTCCTCTTACACACAAACAACAGGCAGATAGAATACCCTTATTTGACAAAAAGCAAACACACATGTACACAAGTTTCTGTCCTCTAAAAACAAACCATGGAACTGTAAGACTGACCTGAATAAAAGCAAACTTGAAGTGTTTACTATGGTAAAAACTATAAATGAAACCCTGCAGTCAGAATGAAAGCGCAGCACACACATTTTACCTGTTACTGACAGGTACAGGAACATACGTTAGTACGTTCAGTGCATGATATTACACAAATTAGCATTGATGACAACATTAATCAGACTCAAATACGAATATAGCGCCGATATGAAAACATTCTGTAAACTAGTATATCACTTAAGGAAATGAATTTTAGGTAGTAGTGGGTTTAAATTTTGTTTTTAAAGTAACTAATTCGTATTAAAAGTGATTCAACATAGCTGGAGGCTTGTGAAGTTTGAGAAGAAAGATTTTGGATTAAAAACACCAAAACATCTCTTCTAATGCAATGTGTCAGACAGATGCAGGCATGTCCAAAACAAGAAAGTAAAAGAAAAGCACATTTCGAGTTCAATTTCCACTTTAGTGAGCGTCGAGCGATCATGGCACAAAAGCAATGTATGCATGAAACAGCTTCTTGTTACACTTTGTAAAAGGAAAAAACAGCTTTTATCATCATATATAACATGAGGCATCCTCTCAACTGGCTTACAGTCACACCCAGCACCCACATCACACACGCTATTCAGATTTTACAGAAACATTTACAACCTGCCTGACACAAGCAAAAACCAAATATAGTTTTCCCCCTCATGTACTGAAGATAAACCACACAAATTATGAATTCAAACTTATGTTGCTGAATCACATCAATCTTCTTACACAATATAGACTTCAAAAGTCTGTAGGGTAGAAGGGGAAAAATCACAGAGTGCTAATTACAACAGAATGCAATCCGAAGTCTTCAGTGCACATGCACACACACACACAAAAACCCTTTAAATAGAACAGCGTCTTGTTTAGTCTCTAAACGGAGGCAAAAATACGCATGTATCGTAACATCAGATCACTCATCAAAACTGCTTCAAGTATAACAGGGTTGTATGAGGGAACGTGTAAGGCAAGAGATACACTTCTACAGCTCCATACTACACATCTACAAAATAACAGACTGGAACTGGGATCTTTCAGGAATCTTCTGTACGGTAATTTCATGGCTTGAATATGATGTGATTTTGAAATTTCGACTGCGTGCTTGTTGATAAAGGATCTGAAGATACTAATGTCCTATTGAAATTAACAAAACAATGATGGTGAAACAGGAAGTAGTGCTTAGATTTCAGAAAATCTATGATGGAACGACAAAGGTGATCACTGATCTGCTGAGTATAAAGGCTATCCTTATGTACGCACACACGCATTACAAACTTGGTCGCTCAGTGCCAGTTGGAGTATGTATGTGTGTGTGCTGATGAGAACTGCTTCTTTTCCTTTCAGACGTGTCACAACAGCGCAGCATTGTGGAAGCACTGAGGAACGCAGAATAACTCCTTTTATTCAGAGGCTTTATGGGGTTTCCATGGCAACGGTCCACAGGCACAGGCCTATTGACCCAGTAGAAAAAAAGACTTAAGAACATAAAAGTATTTAAAATTCCACAGTCATGTTTTATTCTCTCGGCTTTGTATCTCAGACTGAAACTTTAAACCAGAGGAAAAGAAATCCATGCAGTTCAGCCTTACATAGAGAGTCTGCTGAGAAGGTCTGGATAATAGATCATTTCCTCATACTGATGTCATCATCCTTCAGAACGAATTTCTTCCTCAATGCTTCAGATATAAGAGAGGCAGAATCTTCCTCCCTCAGTGAGGTGCACCCACGGTTATATCTGAATACAGTACACAATAACATTATTCTCTATATTATTTATTAATAATAAAAAATAACAATAATAATAATAATATCATCTATTAATATGCTATCACTATTCATTAAAATAATAATTAATTAAATTTAACACGTAAAACTCAATTACATTAATTATTAATAATATAAAATAAAAACTAATAGGCATCAAAACACCATTACTATTGATTTACAATATAAATAATTATTATTGTAAATTAATATAAATCAATAGCAATGATAAAATAATATATAATATTATAGGGGTGTGCCAAAAAATCGATTCACAGAAGAATCTAGATTCTCATTTGCAACGATTCAGAATCGATCTGAAATGTCCAAGAATCGATTTAATAAATAAATAAAATCAGCTGGCTGTTCGCCTCCCTTTTTTGTAACTATAGCCTATACGGGACGTCCGGACGTCATGCACGCAGCCGGTTTTTGAACGTGAGCGGCAAATCAGAGGAAGCAAATATGGATGCTTTTATAGAGCTTCTGATGCTTCTAAATATGATGCTTCTACATTCATTCTGCCGTGGCCGCCCGCCACACCTAAAATAATCCCACCACGGCTGCAGCTTCTCAGTGAGGTCCGATATTAATGTGATTCTGTTATTGTTAAGCTAAAGGCATAAAAAACATTGTAAAGCACCATAAAGTGTTCGCACTATATTCCAAGACTTCTAAAGTCATTCAATAGCATAATGTGAGGTAAAAATGAATATTTAAGTCGTTAGTTAAAGTTAATGGAAACTCATCTCTCCTCAGTCATTCTCAATTCAACATTCAAACAGCGCGTCGCGTTATAGCGTTTTTTAAATCATAATCCTTTCTCCCGGGTGTCTGTTAGATTCCAGCACTGGAGAGCGCTATGAATTGTTCTTCATCCGCACTGTAACTGAAATTTAAAACTGTTAAAAGAAAATGCTCAATAAACTGTTGCAAATATATAATACATTAAGCATAGATAGACAGATATAATCTCTTCGCTTTGTGCTTTGAACTTTTCAATCCGGAGCGCTGCGCGCTGTGACTTCGCGTTGCTTCAAGTGCATCATTCTGCGCACGGGATGCGCATAATCGCTTTGCCGCTCTTATTCGAGCCTTTCATGTTATAATGTTATAATACTTAGGGGAGGTTTAAACACCTGGGGTAAGGGGGCGTGGCCAATGGCAATATCACTCATGGGCCACGCCCCCTCCCCCTGGCGAAATGGGCCTGCCACCACAGCTGGAAAAAATCCTAGAGGAAACACTGGTCTCCGTTTGTCATTCTGTATAGCAAAGCAGATGAGAGTAGATCATGATCAGAAACCCGATTAGAAATCATTATGGATAAAATCGAATCGTTTTAAATCGAAAATCTTTTTGAATCGAAAATCGATTTTGAATCGAATCGTGGCCTCAAGAATCGGAATCGAATTGAATCGTGAGATGGTAAAAGATTCCCACCCCTATAATATTATGATTATTGGTCACAAAACACAACAGCACCAACTGTATTAATGAATTAAGGAAAATTTCTAGCCCTTGTGGTTCAAAAGCTTAGGATAAGCGTGAGCTCAACTTTGGACAGTTGGTGGCGCTAGAGAGGTTGGGTTAGAGACTCCAAATTTCCTATGGTAACAGATCAGACTGTCCTCTATCTGTGTGCCAAATTCCATAACTTTCCTGCAAGCGTTTCTATGGGCTGCCATAGACTCAAAATAAGTAGAATAGTAGTAATACAAATATATTATTAATACAATAATGAATATTAATACAAGGCCTTTACAGAAGAATGAAAACAATTCTAAAAAACAGCACAACCCCCGACCACCACCAAATTTCTGCATAGTCAGTGTTAGGCCATGAGACGGGACCCCAAATTTGGGCTACCGGTACCATTTTGAGGGATTCAATTTCTTTTTGATTTTCATGAAGGTACACATCTCTAGTGTTGGAAAATGTGTGATAGCATCCGATCCATGGTAGCTTTCATTAGAAATCAACATTTATATCATCCTACCTCAAGCTAAGGTGTTCAGTGACTACAAGAGAGAAAAATGTATCCTTTTATAATTTTAAAAATTTATTTTAAAAAATTATAATTTTTTTATTATAAAAATGTATAAAATTGTATACATTTTTCATAAAATGTCAAATTTATTTAAAGTTAATTAATTTATCCTTTTCCTTGACATATGTTTGAAAATCGTCCTCCGTAACCAAAAACTACCTTGAATCTAATGCTATCACACATTTTTCAAATACAGGGTCATATACCTACACAAAAATCACCATGCGGTTTAATCCCTCAAAATGGTACCAATCAACCCTCTGTCTCACGGCCTATGTCATGCTGGTGTTGAAACAGTGCTCACCTGTCCTTGCTCATCTTCATGCGGTTCATGTCTTTCAGGATGTCCATTACATCAGCAAAGCTTGTCGATTTTGAAAGAGACACTGTGTCCTCCTCTGGCTCCCGAAAGTCCATAGTAGGGTGATCAAGATCAAAAGTTGCAGATGCTGTCATGGAAACTGTCGGCACAGGATCAGGCACCAGCTCTGACACCTCCTCTTCATCCTCTTCCTCCTCCTCTTCTTCTTCCTCTTCTGTGACATCACTAATGACAAAGGAGGCTGTGGGAGCAGCCTGGTAAGCAGCCGTCTCAAAAGGAGCCATGGAGAAGCCCACACTAGTGTCGTCAGGGGACAGCAGGTCAGGGGTGATGGGGTTCGAATCTGAAACGGGTCAATTTTTATGAAGCACTACAGGTCAAAACATTTTTAAGCAAATATATTTCTGCTACTGCATACTAGTCTTAATTTTGAGTCTAAAGCCAAATACATCTTAAGTATTAACTTGCCAATGTAAAAAAATTAGAACCCAAGAGAAACTAAATTATATAGAATGAAATGATTTAGTCAAATACTCAACCTGATTCTGAAGCAACAATCTTGGCGATCTGGGCTCGGAGTCGAGTCAGCTCATCTTGTAAAGCTGTGGTGCGGTTTAGAGCGGTAACACCTGGTTTCCTCAGACCCTCGACTCGCCTGCCTTCTCGTCTGAAGTTGGGCACAGACGAGTTCCTGTGCATGATCAGCAGCGGTGTTGGCCTCCACTCATGCCTCAGGGGACGTGTGTCACTCCTGACAAACAGCAAGACAGCATTGGGATAAAATTAATTCATTTGATATTTTAGTGAGGATCCAACACTAAATTCAAATTCTACTCTAAATCCTACTAAACACCATTAATAAAGCAGTCAAATAGGAAATCCAGTGCACTAGCATGACAGACTTACCTCACTCTGGCATATGTCTCCTCCTCATCATCTGCAATCCAGGCAATATCTGCCAGCGTAGGCACCAGTGGACCATCCAAAGAGCGCATTGGAGGAAGGCCTGGGAGTTCCTGAAGAACACAAGCAGAAAACAGCCATTCCTTTAGTTTTAACCTTTATAAGCTATTCTGTCATCTTTTACTGTAAATTTTTTTTAAATAATATATATATATATATAAAATGGTTTCCTCAGTCTTAGTTCTTGTGAACTTGGGAATATGTTTAAACATTCTAAACAAACAAACAAACAAACAAAAATGGACTTCATTTGATGAGTCTCATAATTTATAATTTCATTGATAAGTCATCATAAAAAAAGGTCACACCAACCATAGGGAAATCATGGGAAAGACCCTAATGCAGAGCTTCGTTTTTATAAATATGTGTTGAATAAAATCTATATATCAGCCCCAATGTTGAACAAACACACACATAAATAAAGGGGCGGGATTACAAAACATTTAGAGTGCAAAAACTGCAAAAATGACGCTTCCAAATTTTTTTTATTTTAATGTACCACAATTTGGCACATAATAGTTAGATAATGTCTAAATAAGTATCCAAATGTATATTTCCTAAGCATAAAATCTCAAAAACTTGTGCAACGGCTGGATGCATAGGACACTTCAGCCATCTACTGGACCATTACTGTCAAAACATGATTTTGACCTGACATGAAGTCACGTTATACTTTTGTTTTAGACAGATGGTAGCAATGATGAATTACTTTGGCCTGGTTTTACAGACAACGCTTAGATTAAGCCAGGATTAAGCCTTAGTTCAATTAGGACATTTAAAGGGATACTCCACCCAAAAATGAAAATTCTGTTATCATTTACTCACCCTCAAGTTGTTGCAAACCTGTATGAGTTTCTTTCTTCTGCTGAACACAAAGGAAGATATTTTGAAGAACGATTGGAACTTTGGCACCATTGACTTCCATAAGATTTTTTTTCTACTATGGAAGTCAATGGTGCCAAACAACTGTTTGGTTCCAATCGTTCTTCAAAATATCTCAAGAAGAAAGAAACTCATACAGGTTTGCAACAACTTGAGGGTGAGTAAATGACAGAATTTTCATTTTTGGGTGGAGTATCCCTTAAGTAGCTTCTTTTTTTTTTAAACATGCCTTAGAAAAAAATCTGCATCTTGAGACAAAACAATGTCACTGACATATTTTAAGATATACCAGTGGAAGTTGCTTTCAGTTAAAACAGCTCAAACATGCATTTTAATCTGTGACTAGCTAAAGACTTGTCTGTGAAACTGGAGGTTTGTGTTTCAACTGTTTATGTTTATAGAAGTGTAGATTTAAATAAATGGTAAATAACATCTAGATGATTATTTTTGGTAATAGATGATAAATGACATCTAAATGACCTAAAATCCCCAAAGAGCCGCATATTTTTATTGTTACTTCAGGGAAATTAGTGTTATAACATTTCATTAAAAAAAAATGTGACACTTTTTTTTCCTTACTCAAAAATATGAGGGTTAACTTACAACACTTTTCAATCTTTAACTCAACCACCTGATGATCTGGGTGCATGAAAGCATATGCTAGTTTATATGAACAATGCTTATTCCCATACCTGGAAACAAGCCCTGGGACAGGGTTTAAGAGGCAGCGTAGAACCAATTCGTCTCACCACACTACGAGTTGATCCATGTGGTTTATTTTGCCAAATAGGAATTACCTCCTAAAAAGCAAGTAAACAAAATAATAAGTATTTAAAAAATATATATATACACACACTGACAGAACATAAATAAAATAGCTCTTTTAGATGTTTATTTACTTACTGCTTCTGTCTCCATTTTTCTGAAAGTGTAGAAAGAAAGCACTTGCAGCCTTGGATTGTACAGTGGTGTTTTGATTATTATTATAGCACACTGTACATGTTCATCTGGGACGAGGGTTCCTTTGCCTTGTAAAATTAGCAAGAAAAACATAAAATTAAAAAAAAAACATTCTATACTTTATGTGCAACACCACTGTGAATGCAGATCAAGATATCATGAGCACAGTGAATTGTTTTTTTAGTTGCTGCAGACTGATTGCCTCCTTTGTGTTAGTTTGTGTAAATCAAGTGAATAAAGTAAATAAAGCGTTGAGCAGTGTAACCAAAGCAAAGGTTATGACGCGCAATCGCTCTACAACACAATTTAGCTATATACGTAATAAATTAAGAAGTAAATGAACTGATAAGTTGAGTACTAAAATTATAAATAAGAGTAAAGAAATAAAAATGGTAAATTAAATGAACAGACGATAATGCTATACGTTATGCGATACAAAAGAGTAACAGTGCAAATTGTGAACATTAACAAACACAATAAACCCTAAAATGTAAACAAGGAGGTAAACAAATCAAAGGCGTCCTGTGACCCTCATTCCTTCGTTTAGCATCACAGCTAACAAACGACCTCATAATGTACTTCTGCTAATTATGCATTTAGAAACCATATAAGCCATACCGTGTGTGGTCAGATTAGTTCGGTTTATTTTTTCTGCACTGGTGCAGATTATTATGGTTTGTGTGTTGTGAATGTCCGGGCTTCCTTTCTCCCTGTACCGTTAGCCGTTTAGCCGTTAGCCCAGCGCGCCCCCGGCTAATTTAGCAAGCGGTGCATGAGTCGGAAGTGCGTGTGGTAACATCATCCTGTGCAAAATAAAAGTAATCTTGCACACAAAGTTAAAATATACCGCTTTGAAACGATTTTTTAAATATAAATATAAATGTAAATAGATTTTATATTTGATATGCTTACACAATTGTAAATAAAGACGCATTTGGTTTATTTAAACTACGATATACATAAAAACAAAATAAAAGTCACCTTGCAGATGGAAGTTAATATACCTGCTTGGCCATACTGCATTGAAGCAAATGTAGATTTAGAAATTCAAATATTTAGAAGAAGATATTTTCAGCTGGTACATTCTGCAACGACATCTCGATTGTAATTGGGAATTTGAGCGAAAGGGAATTGAGCGGTCCTAATTATCTAATGACTGGTGACAGATTCACTGCAGAGGCATCAAAACACATGACAGTGCATCATGCGGAGCGTCCCGATCAGCTGGTCGTTATATGGGACCATTAAAGACCAAGGTAAGATGAATGCACATTTTTGGTGATTTTCGATTATTGTAACTCAGTTTTAGTGCCAAGTTTAGAGAAACATATAAAACATGAGCACCATGAGTGGTCCATCAGTGGATACTGCTGAAGAATTTTAATCGGGAGAGATAATATCAAGGATTCCGAAAAGATATTGTTTATTAATACTATATATATATATATATATATATATATATATATATTATTGTGGATTCTAGACACAGAAGTGCGACATTGTGATGCATTTGGGGCCTGCAGCAGCAGCTCTATCAACAATCCACATCTTGTACTGTGTTTTGGGCCCGATTATTGCTTCGACATTAAATGTCTTGACTAAATGTTGTAGGTGTTGTTGTCGTTTTTTTTTTTATCTTAGATGAACCACATAATTACTGGACCTGGGTATTTGCTGTTATATTTGGCTCAAGTAGGCCATTTTGCATGAATCTTTGTCTTTTGTTAGAATGTATGCATTTCCTGAATATTAAATGGCTGTATGTGGACCGAAAGAGATCGATTTGTTTCAGTCAACTGCGCTTTATTGGCATGATTTTCTATCCTTACAAAATTGCTGAAGATTCAGCAGATTTAGTATTTAGTAGAAGATTCAGTATTGCTGATACAGAACATAGTAACTGAAGTATTAAAATAGTACAGAAAATAAAATATTTGTAAAAAGAGATACAATGAATGGTAAAACTAAATAAAAAAAAAGACAAAATATAACAAAATTATATAATATTTATCATTTATATTGAAATGTATTTATTTAATATTTATAATACGTGTGTGTGTGTGTGTATATATATATATATATATAAGAATACAATGAGAATGTCTTGTGCATATAAAAAATGGTTTGTACAAAGTAAACCACCCATTACAGACTCCTCTTCCTCTCATATTGCAGGTTTCCTGTAAAGTGCAGAGAATGCTGATGAGGATGGAGAGAAGGAAGAGGAAGAATTCCAGATGCCGACACAGCAGTGGGCAGTCGTTCCATCACTGATTCCTGTACTGGAAGGGTTAACTTTTTTTGACTGGTCAACTCTCAATTTCAGCAGTGAGACCTCATGGATCACAGAGCTCAGAGAGACAAGAGCAGGGCCAGCTACTTTGGAAATGTTAAGAATAGGTAAGGTTTTATTGGGACTAAAGGGATAGATGAAAAAGAAATCATTAATGTGTAGCTTAAGCTCATAAAGAGATCTGTGTCATCTTGTCTTTAGACTGGGATCAAAGCTGCCGGCTGGAATTTCGCAGCCTCCAGGCTTCATTACTGCTCAATGTTCCATTGGCGCTCAGAGTGTGCTGGGGAACAGTGTTGGGCAGGAGTGTGGCAAAGGGAATCACCAAATCCGAAACCCCAAACTAAGACAGTACTATCTAAAGGGTAAGTGAATGACCATCACCAACGATTGACAATTAGCTGCTGATTTGTTAGGCACCTAGCCACACACCTTTACAGAAATAGTGTTTAGTTATAAAGTTACTTTTTTTATTATGGCACATTAAGTTAGAAACATAAATGAAATTCAGTACTGCATAAAGGGTTTACACTACCGTTCAAAAGTTTGGGGTCGGTAAGATAAAAAAAAAAGAAGAATAAGAAATTAATACTTTTATTCTGCAAGGATGCATTAAAATGATCAAGATCGAAAACTTTAAAGTGACAGTAATAAAGACATTTATAATGTCACAAAATATTTGTTTCAAATAAACTTTCTATTCATCAAAGAATCCTGAAAATAATTTATCACATATTTCACAAACATATTAAGCAGAACAACAGTTTTCAACACTGACATTAATTTAGTTAATAAATCATAGTTTCTTGAGCAGCAAATCAGCATATTAGAATGATTTCTGAAGGATCATCTGAAAATTCATCATTGCCATCACAGGAATAAATTACATTTTAAAATATATTAAAATACAAAATAGTTATTTTAAATTGTAATAATATTTCACAATGTTACTGATAAATAAATGCAGCCTTAGTGATACTGCTATGTAAAGCCAATATTGGAGTTTGTACATATACATTGAAAATCCCAACTAACATTTTTTAAATGGTGATGATTTTTGTTAACATACTTCGATTCAACTGTGACTCACAAACACTGGTTTAAAATTACAGTTCCTGCTTACTAAACATACTCAGTGTGTTGGTAGTTTAAACAGCTGAAGAAACAAACTGAGAAACAAACACATCTGCTTTCACTCTAGTTACTTGTATGCATTTTGAACTGTTTTTGCATCTATCTTCATAGAGGCGGCATTTCCAGTCAAAGATCCAATAACGAAGATTTTGGAGTCATACAGAAACAATGAACCAGGAGTGAGTCAAGTTTTTAAGCTTATTCACACACTCCATCGCCTTCAAGTTCCTGTTGATATATGATAGAAGTCTCCATATATATAACTGCCAACATTGTCATACCTTGCTGTCGTATACTGATAACTTTGGAACAAAGGTTACTGAAACACCCCATGCTGTTTTGTCAAGCTTTAAAAGATCTTTAATGAAACTGTTTGATGGATAATTCAAGGAGAACATGGAAACTTTACAGCAAATATAATGGGAGAATGTCGACTGCGAAGGCTTTGGTAACTGATATTTTATTATTTAAAATGAATTAATGAACTATAAATAATAAACTAGGCTAATTTGATGACCCAGCCAAATGTTTCTGTTCAATATCAAACGGTCTTTTCTTCTCATTTTTTTAAAGTTGATGTCCATTTAGTTTCTTGTGTGCAGTAGGTTGTTTGAATTGTATTACACAGAGACACCCTTGAAAATACATGACGTCCGTCGTTATTCAAGCTTCACCAGATGAAATGTGTTACAAGAGCATAAACAATCCTCAGATTCTCAGTTTGACCTTTCTGCCATTTGGAAACAAACTGACATTAGTTTGCTATTAAGTGTGCTGGGTTTAAACAGTTTCAGAATAAAAGACTGGGCTGTTGGTTTAAAGATTAAACTATGCAAATCATTAGATACCACTACCAGTATAAGTAATACATGTTATCCACCATTATTTGCATGTCTGGATACAGTTGTCTGTAGCAAAGCCATAGGGAATGAATAATTTGGACGATCAGAACTGTGCGCAGTTCATTGATTTGTGGAACAAAAAGAAGTCCACCTTTCAGTTAATGGCATGAATAAAATCACAAATAGAGGTCAGAATAGTTTTTGCAGAGGTTTTCTTTTTATGGTGTCCCTATGTACTTTTAATTATGCATATTAAATCATATGTATACAATACGGTTCAAAAGTTAGATTTTTTTTATGTTTTTTTAAGTCTCTTATGCTTAGTAAAAACAGTAATATTGTGAAATATTATTGCAGTTTAAAAACACTGTTTTCTATTTGAATATATTTTAAAATGTAATGTATTTCTGTAATGTCAGTTTTCATGATTGGGCCTTCAGAAATCATTCTAATGTGCTCTCAGTTTATTAACTCACGGGCCCACTGGTAAACACTACAAACACTAGTCTTTACGGGTTTTAATCATGTTATTTGAAACAAAGTAGCAGTTAAACTCCTATTAATTTTTATTCTTAAGTATAAGATCTCTCGGGCCAACTGGGAGACAAACATGACAAAGGAAAATAATCTATGACAGGAAGTGACAATGTCATGTGATCCCATTTGCATGAATTATGCATCTTTGTGATTAGCTAATAGTTTCTGGGTGCTGTGACTAGATCCAGACAGCTGATGTCACAGGGCTATGAATAAGGAAATGAGGGGGTGTACAGCAGTGTGGAAAGAAGGAAGGGAAGTGAAACTGCTCTCAGCGTGACAATGTCTTTCCTTATGCACCACCTCAAACAGTTACCCAAGAACAAGGTCTCAACTTCTACGGCGACAGCTTCTGACCCACATTCAAGACAAAAGCACAGCCTTGATCCTGCGCTCGACATTGGTGTTGTGGGAACTGCAACTCTTGTGTCTCCTTCCACGGATGCGGAATATGACAAACTGACGGTGAGAGAGTAAAAAATAGTGCGTTTACAAACCTTGGTGCTTAATGCATTAGGGTTTAAATAGTGAACAGCCTGACAAATCTCAGTACAGCTCGTTTGTAGCATTAATTCCGAGTTTAAGCTCTTTGTGATGCCAGTCAAACTGTAATGTAGTGACTCACAATGGCTTCTCTTCTACTGTTTGCGTGATGTTTATTCATCTCTCGTAGGATGTGGAGGCAGTTCCTTTACCTGATGGAAATGTGTGTCTATTGGCTCTTCCATCTGAATGCTCTCAGGGGGAGGGACCAGCCGCAATGTCTTGCCTCAAACTGTTCTCCCGTTACATCACAGACAGAAAGGTGACAATGTTAGGTTTATGTTACACTGTTTTATATTCCCATTACATTTAATAAAATACAGCATATTCAACTTGAGTTCTGACTCACCATTTTGCTTGTCTCACTAGGGTGTGGTCTCTGGAATATTGCTGGTGACGTCCAATAAGATCTTCTTTGACCCTCAGAAGTCTCACCCACTTGTTCAGGAGAATGGCTGTGAAGAATATGTATTCTCCTGCTCTGTGGATGATCTTGCCTCAGTGTCCTTCTACACAGATATCTCTCACATTCACTTCAACAAGACCACATACAGGTACTTTCTGCTTCACTGCTTGAATATATATAAAACACACACACACAGATATATATATAAATACAGTATATATATATATATATGTTTGTGTGTGTTTATATATATATATATACAGTATATGTGATTTTTTTTATCATATAAATAAATTATATATAATATAAATATTAATTAATACAAAGCAAGAGATTAAACAGAGATTAACCGAATAAAACTGTAACCTTATGAAATTTGGTTAATGTACAAAAATTAATTAAATTTAACAATTTCATTCACCAGAATTTTAACTTTGACAGCCCTGAAAATACATTTTGTAATATATCATGTAATTATATAATGTAATGTGTAATAGATAATGTGTGTGTGTGTGTGTGTTTGTATATATATATATATATACACACATACACTACCGTTCAAAAGTTTGGGGTCGGTACGATTTTAAATACTTTTAAAAGAATTCTCTTCTGCTAACCATGGCTGCGCTTATTTGATTAAAAATACAACAAAAATCAGTTATAGTATTAAATATTATTTCAGTGTAAATCAGCTGTTTTCTGTGTGAATATATAGTAAAGTGTAATTTATTCCTGTGATCAAAGCTGAATTTTCAGCATCACCAGTGTCAGTGTCTTCAGTGTCAAATGATCCTTCACAAATCAGTATAATATGAGGATTTGATGCTCAAGAAACATTTATTATTATTATCAATGTTGAAACAGTTGTTGGTCTGTCAGTTGTACAGTTTTTTTTTTTTTTTTTTTGGATTCTTTGATGAATAGGAAGTTCAAAAGACTTTTGTAACATTATAAATGTCTTTACTGTCACTTTCGATCAAATTAATTATTCCTTGATAAATAAAAGTATTGATTTCTTTCCTCCAAAAAATAAAAATAAAATTCTCACTGACCCCAAACTTTTGAACGGTAGTGTACATACTGTATACACACACGCACAAATAAAAGTGACAAATTGTTGCAGACCCCTCAGCACCCCCCAAACAACTGAATTTTGGTTGTTAATTAAACAGTGCAAAGAACTAACTTTCTCATCATTCATTGCACACATACAGCACAGACACATTGATCTAATTTTTCTTCCAGATGTAACAGTTGTAAGTCATCAAAGAGCAAAACAAACAGCCACAAGAAAACCCGTCAGTCAGCATTAGAGGCCATTCCCGCTCCTGTGTCCTCCGTTTCACATGATCTGACAGCGACTCTGGATGCTAAAGAAGAGGATGAGGTAGTTGGAGAGACTAGGGACATGTCTGAAGCTGAGAGGCAGTCTGGGGGAATGCTAACATCTGCTGCTGCTACTTTCTGTTGTGGAGGACCAGACAGTGTTCAGAGAGGAAACAAAGAATATGAATTCCGAGACAAATCCGAACAGCGGTCATATTTGGAAAGACAGCTGTTAGGTAATCAAGACTTTTACTCAAGAACTTTGACATTTAACTTGTACTGACAACTCTTTTTTATTCATCAGCTAATCCACTTAGTTATCTCTCTTCACTCATCAGGTCCTAGCCCTTCTACATCTAGTAGTGGTATAAACAGATCTCTGATGTTTGTGAGAATTCGACAGAAACTGCAGCATGGGAAGAAAAGGGCTTTCTCTAAACCTAAAATTTCTTCCAGAGACACCTGGTTCACTATGCAGCAGGGAAGGTACCTGGACTTAAACACCTTACCTAGACTACACAGCCACCTTGAAATAAACAGCAAAACATGGCAGAATGTTTTAATTAATGTGCTGATAATGTTATAGTACTTGAACTTAACTATGAAGTTACTTCATCTAACTTTCTTGTTCTTTTTCCATTTCTGCCTTTGATTTTGTGCTGTAGTTCAGATGAGCTGTACGCTTACATGAGCCAGCATCGACCGGACCTGTGCATCCTGGAGGGAGGTGAGGAGGACGAAGCAGAGCATGATGAAGAGGATTTTGTGCTTCTTGATGATGAGGAAGAAGAGGGGTCTCCACGAGAAGGCCAGGCCGGAGAGGACTGGGAGGTCAGTAATTTTCTAAATGTATGGATTAAACAAATAAGTTGAGATAATACACGCCAAGAGAGCAGGAATAACAATCGAACTGAAACAAATAAAAATGCCTGATTTGGTTGGAATATGCAGGGGATGTTTCTCACTCACTTTAATGATACTAAAACTAAAACGCTTTGCATTTGTAAATACAGACATGGTAATTCACTGGTCGAATATGCTTAACAATATTCATGGACTTGTAGTGTTGCTTCTATGACAACCAGATTACTCACACCCTCAGTATCTCAATCATGGTCAAAGGTCCAGAACTTGAAGCCTAACCAGAACTTGTACTTTTCTATTCATTAAAGGATCCTAAAAAATATATCATGGTTTACACAAAAATATTAAGCAGCGCAACTGTTTTCAACAATGATAATAATAAGAAAAGTTTCTTGAGCAGCAAATCAGCATATTAGATCATTCGGTGTCTGACAAACACAATGCATTCTGGTTAGAAAGTTTGTCCGCTGCCGCGTCACAATCACGTGTGCCATCAAGGTACAGCGAGAGCAAGACGAGACCAGCCGCCTCGGTCAGGTGCTACAGCTGGCCCAAATCGGCTTCACGAGCTCTGATGACGACACAGCAGTTTCGTGTTTATTCTGACACATTCAGCTCAGGTGATGTTCAAAAATTTGTGTTTTTATAAAAGTAAAAACTCTTTTCATGTAACCTTAATGTTATAGTAAGTCATGTTTATCAAAATAAAACTGATAAAAAATATAGATCCACTTAATTGGTATTTAAATAGTATAGGCTTATGTTGAACGTTATGCTTTTACAGATGGCGCTGTATTAAGCAGTACATAAAGACTTGAATGAAAAGTGTTTTTGTTGCTTCATGAAAACATCTAAACATCTATGTATTTGACAAATATTGCATCTTATGCACTTCATATGTGATAAAGTACACAAACACCTCGCGAGTGTCAGGACAAGAAGCAGAAAGTGTCCAACTTCGGGTCTCCATTTTTAACTCTTCCCTGCCCACAACTGGCAGATGTCACCTATTGGTGGAAGCTTAGTATAGTTAGACTCAAAGTAAACACACCTAATGATTTATGAAGGATCATGTGACTCTGAAGACTGGAGTAAATCCAGCTTTGCCATCACAGGAATAAATTAAAAAAAAATATAAATAAATCTTAACAACCCCAAACGTTTGAACAGTAGATTAAGTCTTTAAGTGTTAACTAATGTAAATATTTTTTAGCTTTATCTGTTATGTTTTAGATCTTGTGGTTACTGCATAACCTTGAGTCTTAAATCATATTTTCACAAATATGTTAGTATGTTAGGGAATTCATATATGAATAAAGATGTTGAACATTCATTCAGGTTTTCAAACATCTACATCTGTAAAACTACTGTTTGGAAGTGTTTGTCTCTTCAGCTCAGTTATTGGCAGTAGCCTAGAGTTTATTTGGTGCTCTATATTTTTCTGTAGAGTAGAGCATGGTAAACTTATCAAATAAAATTGGTTTTAATTGGATTTTTTATGGATAGTACTGGTTAAAATTATGAGCGAGTGGGCATTCGTAACTTACCTGTTGTGAAATATGTATGTGCGTCTTGCATAATAAGAAATGAATGATATGGTCTCTTCATCCAAGTACTTTAATCTATATAAGATTAAAGTACTTGGATGAAGAGACCAGTCATATCAATCTTTGTAAGAAAAAGCGCCACCAGCCGTGACCGTCCAAACACTCGCGCGCGGCAGTGACGTCATCGCACGCAGTATCGCGCGCATTGGCTACGCAAGGTTTCGCGCGTTCATCTTTTTATAGTCCAGTCCTAAATGACGTTCATAGGTCTCAAATTTTCGCAACTAATATGAGAATGAATAATTTCGAGAAAATAGTGGCGGACCAAGTCCGCCGACATAGGTACCTCTATGATCCGATTATGCGCGATAATACTGACGTTCAAATTATTAAAAATGCATGGAACGATATCGCCGCTGCCACCGGAAAAGACGAGGCAGATTGCCGTAAAGCGTGGAAGAATTTAAGAGACAAGTTTGTGAGGATCAAGAAGAGGGTCTACACAGGAAGCATTGATCCAAGTCCATACACGATCATGACAGAGCTGGGATGGTTATGCCAATTTGTTAAACATCGGGGGAAAGGCCCACATCCAAATGTGAAGGTAAGAAACACAAATTATGTTTTGTTTTATCGCTATATGCACAAATGCATTTTAGGCATTTCTTTTGGGGATGAGTACGCGTTCAGCCCTAGACTTAGAGACAACACTTGTGAACCTCATTCATAAAACCTGTGTAAATCCGTTTAATTCTAACGTTAAACATACTTTCTTTAACGTTATTGACGGATGTTACTGTGTTCTCAGACTAGTGTTGCATAGTTCAGTAGGATGGGATGCCCTACAATTTGTATATATCAAGAGTCTGTTTCAGTAAAATAGTAATATGGTACTGATTAATATGGAATTAAATATTTGTACTTCTGTTTCATTGTGGCTTTAATACTAAAGTTGCTTAAAATTTAGCTAGAAAGGAATGAAAAATAGTGGTAGATTGTATACATGTTTGTAAAATATACCTATTGTTTAGTACGTTTACAACATTTTTTAGACCTGAATGTAATTATTGTTTCTTCTTATAAGGAAATATATAAAGTGGTCTCCATTGAGGAACAATTGAAGACAAACAGCTTCCCAACCTCTCCGGCATCAGAAACATCAGAGACTGCGACTTCTGCCAAACCTCCACCCCTGTCCCTCATGCAATCATCGCCACTTCCCCCCACTCCATCTACTCTTCCACCCTGTCCATCCCCCAAACGCAGCTCCTCGCCCTGTTCAATTTCAGCTTACCCTACCCCAAGCATCTCATCCTGTTCCAATGCCTCACCATCTTCTACTGACTTAATGCCGAAGAGAATGTCTACCACTGAGGAAGCCTTACTGAAGATACTGGAGCAGCTGGACTGGGAGAGGGAGAGGTCCATGCTGCAGGACACTGAAGATTTCAGATTCGCTGCCGTCATTGCTGACATGTTGGCAAAAATTGACCCTCAGCGGAAGCCTGAGGTTAAATTCAAGATCCATCAAGTATTGTATGAAGCTGTGCAAAAAACCCAAACATAGACAGCATCATGTTTTCACTGAGACTACGGTATATATATATATATATATATATATATATATATATTTAATTTTATTTCACAGATGTAAATGTTTATGTATATTAATAAAAACTTAAATATTCAACTTCAGTTTGATTTTATCAATACAAAAGTTCTTGTAAAGCCAATTCTGTGTAAATATAGTACTAAAATGTGAAGACAAAATTAATCCACAGGTCAAAAAATATTGTAGATTTTCATGCAGTAGAGTTCTATTGCACACGGCACACCGTGAACGAGCAAATTGGTTTAAACCTCTTCTATACCTGTCCAGTGCTGCATATTATTAAACTAGAAACTACAGTAGTTAACATGCATTCATTATTTATAGGTGGTAGTTTAAAGTGAAACACACTTTTTATAAAAAAAAATTTTTTAAAGAAGTCTCTTATTTTCACCAATTGCATAATTATTCCTGTGATGGCTGATTTTTAACCAGCCATTACTCCCGTCTTCTTTATCACACGATCCTTCAGAAATGATCCTATGCTGATTTGCTGCTCAAGAAAACATTTATTATTATCACTGTTGAAAACAGTTGTGCTTAAAAAAAAAAAAAAGAATCAGGATTCTTTGATTAATAAAAAGTTCAAAAGCATTTATCTGAAATTGAGTTCTGTTAAGTTCTGTTATGAAACTCTAGAGGTTGATGGGTCCTTCTTTTACATTTTTAACTACATGGCACAAGCTGATTGGTTCCTGTCGCATCTGCAGCCAATGAGCTTGCTGCTCAACATTTAAAGGTGCAGTAAACAATTTCTGAGAATCATTGTTGAATATTTCATATTTGAAATCAACCCAAACAAACACACTTGCCTTCATTGCTCCGCCCCCAAAATGCATTAACATGCAATGCAAGCGTGGATGTCTCTTTATCATAGCTGAAGCGAAGCAAAATAAAGCTTCGTGAAAAATAAAGTGAAGATGAAGATTGACAAGGAAGAGCAAAAAATGAACATGCAGTACACGAGTATATAGATGCAAGAGTTTGTTGTTAGTCACCAGCAGCACACACTCAAAACCGTTACGTATGGAGCAGAAACAAAGCAACCTCTGCCTCTGTTTTCAGACCTTCCCACTTAGGTCTCTCCAGCACTGGAAAGCTTTTCTAATATTAACGCGGGTCCTAAAGCTCTTGCTGGATCATAACCCTTCTTTTTCCATTGATATTCCTCTGAACTTTTCTGTTTTGTAATGTCTTTCAGCAGTCTTTCTTCAAATCTCCCTCTTGCTCACTTTCTCTCCTACTCTGTCATGAGTGGACACACCCCCTACAGCTGATTGGCTAGAAGTTTGTTGTGTTGCTTGGTCTGATTCATTTTCGGCAGTTTTTCAGAAATTATTTACTGCACCTTTAAATAGCTGGTTAGCGTTCACTATAGCATTTTGCAGCATGCTTCCAGAGTTCCTCTGAAACCCTCCACCTTCCCCAGCTCCACCTGTATACATCTGCTACAGGTAATTTTATATATGCTATTTGTGCAGCAGCAGTATGTCTTACATGCTCACAGCAGCGTATCAGTGTATGTATGGCAGTAGCAAGTTCCTGTACTTGTTCTGCAGAAGCAGCAATAATCTACAAAACCACCAATAATCAACAGCAGCATAGCAGATCTATTCCACCAAGACCGACTACATTAACATTGTCATATTACCACCATGCTAAAAATCTTCATTTTTATGATAGAAATTTCATTATTTTCATTTTTTATCAATTTAATGCATACTTGCTGAATAAAACTATTAAAATCCTCCTTACCCCAAACATTTGAACGGTAGTGTATGGGTTGGTGAGTCATACACATATTGTTCCTGTACAGATGGTGTCAGTGGAGGAGAGTGGGCTGAAAGCTTCTGTCTCTACTGAACCAGAAGGTTTGAGTAACATACTGAAGCAGAGTGTCATACTGGATGCCCAACAAGTTAGAGAGGTCAGTACTCACACACTTCAGATTCAGTATACATCAATTCTTATGCATAGTCATGCAGTTTTGGAAAATTAAGACCTGATCTCATTCTGGTGGCCCAGTGTGTGTAATGTGTAGTAAAATATGTAGCATGCATCTTCTCTCAGATCTCGAGAGAGCTGCCTCCACGTACCATTGGACGCACGTGGCAGCTGTCCTACAGCACGGACAAACACGGGGCAAGTCTCAAGACTCTATACAGAAAACTCAGCACTACCGACTCACCTGTGCTGATAATCATCAAGGACCACAACCAGCAGGTCATTATTTCACAGCTGGTGAAGTGGACAGCTGAGGGTCAAGGGTCACTCTTCAATTGCAATATTCATTCCACTTGTAATTTTGGCCTAAGTTGGACATTTTGGTTTCGTAAATGTGTATTGTTATTTGAGTGGTTTTAATTTCCCCCTCAGATTTTTGGGAGCTTCCTCTCACATCCTCTGCATCCTAGTGATGCATTTTATGGCACTGGAGAGACCTTCCTGTTCCTGTCTCACCCACGCTTTAAGGTACATATAAAGACAAATTTGAGAGAAATTGAGAGAAACACAAATCATTGAGAGAAACAACTGTAAAGTTTTATGAGATCAAATGAAATTCTTAATGGGAATTTCTTTTAAACACATCTGAGATTATATTTATTACATTTAAGGGTTTCCGATGGACTGGAGAAAACTCTTTTTTCATCAAAGGGGATTTGGACTCTTTTGCCATTGGAGGAGGAAGGTACATATTAATATTCTGCAAGATGCCTTTATAATGCAGAGCTGCATATTTCTTGTCTTTTATTTTAGACTTGCAAATGTGATTTGTATAAGTAAACTTCATGTTTGTCTCTTTTCATTTCAGTGGTCACTTTGGTCTGTGGGTGGATGAGAGGTTGTTATTGGGCAGAAGCAGCCCCTGTTTCACCTTTAATAACTGCAGCCTGTCTGAGACAAACGACTTCACAATTTTGGATTTGGAAGCCTGGACATTTGGCTGACACATGCTCCAAATAATCACGATTTAGTGGGAAATATGGCCATTCAAAATTTAACTATTTGATCACAGTTTACTGACACCTGTAAATGAAGGGAAAGAGACCCTGCAAACTGAATATTCTTTCTGAAGTCAAGGGAAGAGTTTTGCACCAATGGATGAAAGCTCACCTATCATCTTTACCACCATGATGGGAAAAAAAAGCCTGTTTCGTCTTGTGAATAAGATGCATTTGGGTTCATTTCATTATTTAAATGAGTGGATTTCATCGTACAAGAAATGTTGTCTTAAGTTGAATTCTGGGACAGAATGGAATACTATATGCCCAAATAACATCTGAATGGTATGTGTTTATACTAGTGAGGTCAATCTGGATCCCACATTATTACCGGTACTGCAGCGCTAGTTACAGTGCGCATGTTACTTTGATGAGGAAACCTTTTTTATCCGTGTTAATTTATAACAACTTAAATAAGCTACAACCTGACTAAATGGTACTGATTAAAGCCTCACCTGCTGTTGGTAAGTAAAGCATCTGCAACACACAGTAGCTTAGGCATTAGTTTAAATTTCCACTGCTACACTTTACACATAGAAAAAGTTCCTCATCACTCAAGCCAAAACAAAACCAAGACTGAAATGATTTTGGGTTAAAAACCACACACAAACCTCAAGAGCTGCATGTTTCATGTCTTGAGACTTTTGGTGTCACAATACTTTCTTAGACATTCACAAAGTCTTAAGCACTCCTGTGGATGGATTCCTAGCCTGTAGAAAAACTTTCTTTCTGTAAATAACGCTAACAATGGTAATAACATCAGTTCACAAAGATATCTGTACAAACAATGGCTCTAAAAAAAAGTCAAAACATAAATTATAGTCATACAAGACCAATGCAATATTTATACATTTGAAAATGCAGTCACTCAATACTGAAAGTGTTCATTAACTTGCCTAATAAACATCAAATTAACAATAACACTGTTTTATTTATAAAAAAACACACATTGTATCTATTTGACAATGGTAGATAATTAGTAGTGCAAAGTTAATTCAATTGCACCATTTAGAAAAGGCAGTGAATACTATGCCAAATTACATAAATATATTCTAGTCTTCCTTCCTGCTTCTGCTCTTCAGTTTAAATGTGGTAGAAAGAATCAGACGTGAGTGCATGTGAGCTCTTTGCAATATATTTAATAAAAAATAAAAAAATTGTGATGTTCCTAACTAGCCATTATGCATCTCCACCTTTAGACAAAAGTGGATTTCAGCAGATATATTAGAGCCCATGGCAGCTTTCCTGCAGCTGTGTGGTTTAGCAGAGATCCAAAGCTGTGCTTTGTGTGTATTTTAGCACAGTGCCAGTATTCTGTTGAGACAGAAAAGCAGGCGTTGCTTCCAGACTTAAACAACAACATCAGGCCTGGCCTCACCCTGATTGGGCTTTCAGACAAGACCATCACAAACTGCCTAATCGTGGAAGCCACAGCCAGGATCATTCTGTCTCCTACAGAACCATCTGGAATAACAAAAAATGATGCTGCAAAACACAAGTGGCTTTGTATGCAATGAAACAAAAGTATAAAAGTGGTTTTATCAGATCAGTAATACTACATAATGCTGTTTTAGTTCATTAATCTGAGCAATAGATCAGACTAAAGACATTTGTCACTCAAGAAGTGTTAAATTTGCACATAAAACAGCAAATTTCTATATAAAAATATATTACTTAATTGAGATTATTGTGTATAGCTAACACCCCGGTTTCATTGGGGTGACAAACCACACTCTTGTGACCGTAGTGACGTTATATTGTGCATTTTTACGTGTCACACTAAGGACCATGTACAAGAAGATGTGGTCAACAGCTGCCTTCTGAATGAAGATATTGCGTCAGATCCTCCGCATACCTTTCCTCAAAGCAGACATGGGGGAGTAGAGCTGATATCAGCTCTTCCTTTCTTTTCCCTCATACGCTCCCTTCAGTTCTCTCTGAGGTGCACTGATTTTTCCGGAGACAGAAATCTGATCTTTAAATTAGTTTTATGATTGCAGGTAAGGTCTGGCCTTTTCAAGTCCTTCCTGCAGGAAGCGGATGTATGTGGAGGTTGAGGGATCTTCAAAACCTGCTGAGAAACTGAGAGCTGGCCCCTCTTCCTCAGGTTTCATGGATGTCTGGTCCAGGAAATTATTAGCATTGATGTGATGGACCTGGAGAAGTTACAGTGACATTCATCTAAGCAACTTGAATAAGGTTGGCACAGAATAAGAAATCTAAAGCAGACTTACCACAGTGCCGTTGGGCAGCGCCACCATCATCTCCACTGGAAAAGTATACATTTCCAAATGCAAACGAGCCTTTTCACTCAAATCCAGATTCTTTTTATCACCCTAAATGGAAGGAAAAGCACTTAATTAGCACTGATATGTATCTACAATTGTAAGTTTTAATTTTGGCTTTACAACATACACCAGCTAAAAAAACCAAAGTCTTCACCTGCAGATCCTCCAGGTCTTTGACTAGAGACCAGCTGCTGATGAAGCTCTGGTTGAGTAAGGCCAGAACGGGCGAACTCTCGAGGACTGTCTCCCGAAGAGTCCGCCCTGAACCTACCGGAGATAAGGAGAAACAGAAGTGTACAGAACGCAAATCAGAGAAACAAGTTCAAGTTCAAGACCTTTATTTGTCCCCGAGGGGCGATTAGTTTTGCTGCAGTAGCCAAATAAATTAACATGCAGTACATGACAACATCAAACATCAATTCAAATACAGGATCAGACAGATAAAAAATAAAAATAACACCACAACATTTAACATTTGCCCAATGTATGTCTAAACATCTAATATAGTTGAAAGAACTTGAGTACTCTAGCTTTAAAACACACTCTGACCAATGATTAACACTACCAGAAGATCTATGTCATGCTGACTGCTCTATACTGATCTGTCCATACTGATCTATGTTATTCACAGAAATGAAAATTCTGGGCCACTAGGCTAAAAACTGAAAATGCTTTATTTTAAATTAGCTTTTTTTTTGTATGATTGTATTAATATTAGACTAAAAAAAAAAATTACAAGCCAATAAAATAAAATAACCACACTTTTATTGCAAGTAACTGGACAGAAAATATATTCATATTAAATATCAATATATTATTCTTTATTCAGTTCTATGCAACAGAATCAGATTTAACATATTCATTTTTTTAACAGTTATCCGGATAAAGTATAGTCCTACAAAGCTAATAGGGACTTTAAGCAACAGCCTCTGGTGGAACGGCAACGGCATTCTGTCGTTCTATTGCGCATGCGCGACATTAACTGCTACTTCGCAGAGTTCTACTGTAACCGTCTACTACGGGAGAACAGCTGATTTGCCGTAGTCGTTACTACGTGACAGATTAATAAAGTTAATGTTATGTGGCATTGTAATCGTTTCTGTATATCATTAAATGCCCAAATCAACCCTTCTCTTACTTTTTAAAATCACTTTCTTTTTTGTATTTTGTCTGATGATTAAAATATCCCCTATGCCGTCCTCTTTACTGTTGCTTAGTGATTTTTGCGCTCTTTAGCTACGGCAGTTAACCGTTTACTTCCGGCTGCCGTTGCCGTTCTATCAGCAGCTGTTGCTTAAACTCCCTATTATTATCAGAGCATATAAGCAAAGCGTAGCGGAACAGTGAACGAGAGGGTAGCGTCATTTTACCAGCGTTGCCTAGCACGGCTATACCACACCATGTTACGGCACAGTAGGGCTATTCCAAACAGAAACAAGTCTACTACTACATAGAACTTATGTCGGCGCATTATTTGAGTGGACTTTTCCGATGAGCATGAGCGGAGCACACATGCATAGAGCGGAAAATTGAGCAGAGCATCAAATCACGCAGTGATAACAGCTAGAGCGAGAGGAAAACTGAGCGCTAACGGCACTGAGGGGCCGGTTTTCTTTTTCAGCCAAAAAACAAAAATGCCATTTTCAGCCGATAATCTTCGGCTGCCGAAATTTCGGTGCATCCCTAATGCTGTCCCTTATGGCCAAATTTAGCTCTTCCAGCAGTATGAATGCTTTGTTATAGTCGACCATGGGTGTCTTACCTCAGCATGACTGGTCATCCAGGGATCCCCAGAGCAGAATGGAGTGAATCAGCTTTTTCTCAGCATCAGCTCTGCTAAAGGCCTCACTGAATGGTAAATATGGCACCTTCCAAAGAGAAGACCCATTGAGTCGTTTGACATTGAGTGAAAATTATGGGCTCCAAAAAAACATGCATGGATCAAACGTTCACAATTAGAAACTTTTTAGAAAATAGACGCACTCAAAATAAAGGTTCTTAATTGGCATCTATGGAACCTTTTCATTGCATTAAAGGTTCTTTAGATTATTAAAATTTCACTATTAGAAACAAAAATGGTTATTTATTACGAAATGTTCACTGAATGGTTCTTTGGGGAACCCTTCTTCCATGGCATTGGTGTGAAAACCCCCTTTTGAAATCTTTATTGGTAGTGTGAATTCATTTCATGCTGACTTCAAAGAACATTCATTGCAACAGCATTGCTGCAGACTCTTAAGAACTGATTTCAGGTGTTCAAGTATGAATTTGTAGGAATTGTAGCAAGGGACTCACCTTTTTAAATGGGTACATTGTGACCTCCAAGCATCTTGATGCTTCATCTCTGCTCAGCTCTGCACTCCAGACAATCTCCTCGAACACAAACTGAATGGGCTCACCTCCCTCCCCTCGGCTGTCAATCATGTTCCCTAGCTCATCATAGATCACTGAGGGAGTGGAGGGTCCTGCTGCCCTGAGCTCCATCTGTAAACATATACGGCCCGTTTACTTTATTCTTTTACTGTCATCTTGGCATGATTAGCTAAAACATGATACATAATTTAAGCTTTGATTCATCAGCAACAAGAAAGACTGATTAAAGAGCATGTAGTAAAATGTCAGTGGAAGCAGTTTCAGTATTTTGTATAACCATCAATGAAAACCCTCTGAATGTGTTGTGCATAATTATCAGCTCTAACCTGAGGTAGGTATCCAATATCCACCTCCATGTTACTGCTCTCGCTAGAGCCATACAACCACTCCATGTCCACATTCAGAGTTCTGCCATATAAAACACACACTCAACTGGGGCTGCACAATAACGGGTTAAGCAGATAATCAAAAGTATTTGATCACAATTACAAAATCATGATTTGAGTTTTTTTTATATATACATTTCATTAGAATAACTGCACTTACATGTGCGCACAAATCAAGAGAACATGGTTTTATTTGACCTCATCTAGTTTTCTGGTTCATTATGTTTATTATATGAATTAACACACACACACATCTACATTATTAAAAACTAAAACTGAGAAATTCCTAATTTAATTCAAAATTATGTTAATGTTTTTCTATTAACATGAAAGCTTGTGGGGGCTTGTTACCAATGCAAAATAATGGAAAAGTCAAATGAAAACAACTTTTTCAGGAAAAAAACCCAGCAGGCAAAATGCACAGGCGATTATGCTTAATTTATCGAGAGAAACTGAAATTGTGATCATGATTAAAACAAGATTAATTACGCAGCCCTACACTCAACACCTGGAAAGTGCTTATTCTTGCAGTTAGGAATAGTGGAGGGAAGACTGACTTGTCATTTGGGACGTAAAGATGAAAGTCTCGGATGTGAGAAGCATCTTTGGAGAGGATGATGTTACCAGCAAACTGCCCAGGAGTGAACCAGAATGGAAAGTTGGGAACATCATTTAGCTGGAACTCTGCATGGATTCTGTAATTATTAACAATACCATCAGAATCCGTTGGAGGCTCACAGTTAAAATAAAGTTAAAATTATTTCAAACAGTTACATGCACACTAGATTACTACTGGATTTTAAGAAAATCCCATTTATTTTAGGTTTCTAGCATGGCAGTTTTTTTTTAAAACTCACCTGAAAACAATGTCATAATAAAAGTCACTAGCAGCCCGTATACAAGCCACAGCTCCCTGTGGAGCAAAGCGGGATTTCACAAAGGGCCGCGGGTGGAACATGCTCAGCAGAGAGTGGATCAGCACCTGCAAAAAAATGACAATCACGTCACCCATCTACAACTAAAGAGATCGAATCAATCTCCTTTTTGATCAAAATACTCTTCACAATCTTAGATAACCTATTATTCAACTATTTGCTTTGAATAAATACAAGTGATATTAAATTAAAATTGTTTAATGGGTGTGAACAATGAGAATTGAAACTCACTGAACTCATTTCAAAATTTTAAAGGTATATTTGTACCTCTTTGCCTCGCGGAGTGGGAGGATGATAACGGTTATTGGGAAGGTAGCCAGTGAAAATGTTCAATTCGCTGGGAACAATCCACCAAGTGTCACCCAGGGCAGATTTACCACTGGGTGGCAAGAAGACCTTGAACCGACTGGCATAAAACGTGGATGAAGGAACAGCTGGACGTTTCCAAGACCGCAGCCCACTAAGAGAGCTGTGTGAAACCTGTTGAGAAGGACACTGCACTGAATTTACCTTATACACCCATTTTTAGTATGTACCTTGTAATGGATGATGTATAAAAGTTTTATAACTTTTAAAATTAAATTTTATTAATAATAAAATAAATACATTTTAATTAGATTCAGATTCATTTTTTTTTTAAATAGGGACAATGCACAAGTTAACATTAACCTTGTTTAAAAAACAAAGAGAGATGCATTGTGCCAGGTTGTAGCACAAGTGCTATTTTCCGCCCGTATAAATTATTATTACTTTGAATTGTTCTTATTACTGGTCATTTTAATTTTAATATATATATTTTGAAATTATCACCCTGTCTGCTTTATATATTTAGTGACAAATGTATAAATAATGAAGTCTAATGTTTAAATTACCCCTAGAAAGCCATCTTTGCTCTTAGTCATGCTTTCCAGTAGTAATGGCTGCATTTTAGCATGCATGGTCAGCGCCTCTCCATTTGGGTCATGTGGTATCTCCTCTTCAAACTCTGGAGGAGGTTCCACACCTTCAGGCAACAGAGATGGACATCAGGCATTACAACAATGAAAAATACATTGCTTTAAAACTCTCAGTTTTCTACAGTGATGGATACTGACCTTGAAGCACGTTAATTCTGCTTTAATAAGACTATATCTGCCTATGGAAGGATGTTAATGATCTGCAAGAGTACAGACAGGGTAAATAATACCTGTGAGTTTTTCTGCAATAGGTTTGAATTCCTCTGGACTGAGATAAAGGTCATGATCAGTATCCAGGGATGAGAAAAAGAAGAGTCCATCTGCTCCTAACGCCTTCAATCCTTCTTCCTACAATGGATGTAATCCAAACAGAGAAGAAACCTCAGCAATTTTACAGGCTGCTCCCATTAAATGAAAGAACTAGTAATTGTACAACAGGCTAATTTTACGATTAGTTCTTTTGAACGGTTTGTTTCAAAGAACTGGGGGGAAAAATCAGAAATTATTTTACCACATGTTGTAATTATGTCTTCTAGTTTATTGTAATTTCGTCCTAGTTCTCTGCGTTTTTTTGCAAGTTTTAATAAAATGTAATTTTCATGCTTATTATTTTACTATAATAAAATGAATATAATAAGCATGGTTTCATGCTTATTATTTTACACGACTTGACTTTTCCAGAACTACTCGGACCGATCCAGTCAGATTCGTGGGTGATTGATTTTAGACCATTTGAACAGGTAGTACTGTAAACAGGTTCAACTGATTCATTGAAAAGATTCGACTCAAAAGAACGAACCATTCGTTTGGAAAGCACAGCTAAAAAATACTTGCCCCGAGGGCAACAAAACAATGATGGCTGCGTCGATTTATTTTTAACTGAATAACTGACATACTTTTTATGTTGTGTCTGGGTTGTCAGTCTCAGAAGGAGGGCAACCAGGAGAATGTCTAATGTAGGAAGTGACACAGAATTAGTGATGTATGAAAAGGAGGGGGGTTGGTTGGTGTTCTCAATCTTTCCCAGCAGTGGCAATTACCCAACCCTTGTAAAACAGCGGACAACTGGGGCACCAGATGTAAGTTTACTGTTCGGAAATAACAAAAGAGGACGTGGCAAAGAGAGCGCAAGTCTGTACTGCAAAATTCTTCACACTTTAAACGAATATTAAAAGAGGAGTGTTTAGAGATAAATAAACGTACTGCATTTTAGCCAACTACAAAGACAACATGTGGCTTGAACAGCTACAATAAGACAATCACGCAATATCTCTCGAATGGCTCTGGGAAGCATCCCTCCTTCAGGGTTCAAACTGCAATGAAATCCTGAACAAACTGGTATTAACTTACATGTCGTTTGATGAGCTGGATGTCCTGATAATATTTAATGCAAAAGCCGATGAAAGGAACAGCAGCGATTATGAATAAGCTGAAGAGCTGCTTGAAACGTGAGCGGGCGCGTCTGCTGGATGGAGTGGCGCGATCTTCATCATGATCAGCCGTTGGGTGTCCAGCAGTAGTTTTATCCACGTCTGCGGCCATACTCTAATAAATGTCTCTATCTGCTGTGCAAATTACTACAGGGGCATAAAAACAGCCCAGGGTGAAAACAAGACTCTTAAGTGAAATCACACTGTAGCGGAGCAGGAAGAAATCACTCCTGCTTCTCCGAGATTTCTCCTGCTAATGGATCATGTCTGACGCTCTTAAAGGGCCAGTGCGCACATTTATGCCTAACACTTTGGGTGTGTGATCAAATCTAGTGATCTGCCTATTTAGACAACATTCGGAACGTGGCTATGATGGGGAAAATGCTGTCTAGATAGGCAGCAGAGTGGGTTTTAAAACACAGTATATAATGTGTGACCATAATTATACGGTTCGGGGCCAGAGAATGTACCGTCTCTGTCTTTTTGTCCTTCGTGTTGCTAATGGTAAAATATTCGCGTAATGTCCATGAATGATAAGGGCATTTCAACCACAGGGATACTAGACGTGAACACAGTTAATATTAAGTGAAAACAGAGGAATTGGGTCAATCATATTATTAACATTTAAGAAACAATGAATAAATGACTTATACAGAAGGATCTGTATATTTACAACTGTAGCAAATTCCAACCATAAAACCATAATGCAGGGTCCCACTCTTTTATAAATACATTTCCATGTTTCTTCCATGACAGATTAGGTTTTTAACAAATAATTCAGTTTGATGGAATGGTTTAGATTATACATTTAAATGCCATGGTTCAAGAAGGGCACATGACAAACTATAATATACTATAGGTGAAAAACTATATTGGCGCAATGTAAGAACTACATTTGAGAGGAGACATTAATGGATTTATAATTTTATTTCAGCTCTCTTAAAGCACATTTAATTAGTATATATACACACTCACACAGCGTAAACACTGTGAGGCTTACAGTCCCAGAAGGTTGCTCGTTGTAAGCAGATTTTAACAACTTAATTTCACAAGTCTATGAAAGTAGTCAGCTGTTCCAGAACTTCTCCAAAATCAAACAGGGTCTAAATTTACTGAAAATGAATATACATCAAATATTATATCAACTTATTTTAACTTGTTTCTTTCTTAACTTGTAATATACCTGACACTGGAAATATATATATATATATATATATATATATATATATATGGTTTTACTCAGAAAAGTCCATAGATAGGTAGAAGTCATTTTTCAGTCCATATTCTCCTCGACTTGCTGTGTGTGAACCTCTGTGGTTTTGTGTGGGATGTAAGAGCCCATTCCTGCTGCCCGCTCTGCCTCAGCTTGTGTATATGGCTCTTCCCTCAGCTTTTTCAATCTTAGAAAAAAAAAAATAATAATAATAATATATATATATTAGGAAGGAAGTCTAAACAACTAGGGATGTGTTATGGAGCTTTTAGAATGAGCATCATTCTAGTTCTAAACGGGCAAACCCAAGCATAATTTTATTCGAGTTATGTAGGTAAATTTATTTTATATATGATCCAAAGATTCAACATTAAGCATGAGAAGAGGGAGATGTTATCAAGGCTTTGCTCACCGTTTTTTGTGAACTTTGGTCTTGAAATGCTCTTTCATGGTTTTCAAATCAACAAAATATCTCCTGCAAAAAAAACACATTTAAGATAAAAAACGTAATTTTATGGTGTGTGCGTGCTTTGTTTTCAGTGGTGGCGAGGTGTGACTTACGCGCAGTGCAGACAGTAATGCTGGGCACTGCCTGTAACATCATAATCTACATCTTGCTTTAATAACTTAGCAGCATTTCCAGGGATCATGTCTGCATGAATCTGGTCAAGGTCCTTTGTCCTGCGCTTGGTCTTCCATGTCTTGGCAATATGCTTCTTCTTGCCACTTTTGTGGTTTCCTACCTGTTTGGACTTACCCATGATCTGAAAACAAGAGGAGAAAACAGTTTTTAAATTTCTGAAGTGAGTTTAGGGAGTTTTGAACTTCTCCAAAAGACAGTATCATTGAACTAAAAGATGTCATTACAACTTAAATCTGCCATCTGAACCTCAAGTTGTTCCAAACTTGTATGAGTTTCTTTCTTCTGCTGAACACATAAGAAGATATTTTGAAGAATATGGATAGCCAAACACAAACCCCATTGACTTCCATAGTATAGAAAAAATACTATGGAAGTCTATGGGGTCCATCAACTGTTTGGTTACCGACCAATTTCTTCAAAATATATTTTTGTGTTCAGCAGAAGAAAGATACTCATACAAGTTTGGAACAACTTGAGGGCAAGTAAATTATGGCAGAATTTTCCTTTTTGGGTGAACTATGCTTTTAATCTGTCAACAGAAAAGTTGAGCTATCAAATGTCAGAGCAACACAATAAAAAAACAAACAAACAAACAGTTACAATTTAAGCTCCAGTCTGAAAATTAGCAAAATGGGGTCTTTCCTGAAAGAGAAAACCAGTTCGTATGACAGTGGTATATCACTCGCAAAGAACAGCCAATCAAATACATTCAACAAAAACATCCACTCAAAACATCTTTACATGCTTTCTATCTCGCAATAAGCGCACTTTCATCAAGTTGTCATTATGAATTATGGATGTGTAAAGCAGAAGTGATGAAGATATATAAATATTACTTTACTCACGTTGACACGCAGCTGCCTCACCGCACACACGTTGGACAACCGCTCGAATAACTTCCGGGTCGGCAGGCGGGCTCGTGTTATGTACGCGTTCACCTCTAGAGGGCAGTAAGACAGCACACGACTCAAAGCAAGCAATCAGACGAAGCAGAGTTGTTGCGTCGTTGCTATGGAGGTGTCAAGAGTTTTTAGTAAAGCTTTTACTAAAACCAATTGAATACAGCATCATGTCTGGTAAATATATTCATAATATATAATACCGTAATACATATTCTGAATATAAACGCTTGTTACTTGCTGAACAACTTAAACTATGTATTTTTTTTTTTTTTGCTGTTACTTCAAGATATGTCTTATTGATTTAACTTGGCTAACGTTACTCTTTGTTGCAGAGACTACAACACTTAAAATCTCTTACATTTTTCCAAATGGAGACAAATATGGTGAGTTAGCTGTCAGCTTTTGACATGTCTGTGATTTTTCACTATTATTTAATTAAGCACATTAAAATATGTCTGTTTGTGTGTTGTGATTAGAGGGCGAGTGCTCTCGTACTTCAGATGGTGTGGTTATAAGGAAAGGGTCTGGCACACAGTCATCAGCCTCTGGACTTACATACACTGGGGAATGGGCCAATGATAAGGTCTCTCTCTCTCTCTCTCTCTCTCTCTCTCTCTCTCTCTCCGTGTGTGTGTGTGTGTGTGTGTGTGATATGATTATTAATTTTTTTTTTTAAGAATTAAGTGAAACAGTCACATGTGCGCTAAAGCTCTGTGCTGGACTGAAAGTCAGTGACATACTGGAGCTTCAGTCATATGATCTCCTTTCATAGTCTACTATTATTTATGCTTTTATCCCAGTTTTGAATGGATTATGCAGCAAAGTTCATTAAATGTAAGTTAAAATGTAAAAGTGAAATAAAATGTGATTTTAGTAATTAAGTCTTGGTTGCTGTTGTTGTGGCCAGTAGATGAATGGCAGAGGAACTCTTACACACCCATCAGGGGCAATTTACAGTGGCCTGTTCAGAGACAACGTGTATCATGGCAAAGGAACTTACAGATTTCCTGATGGGACAAAATACACTGGAAACTTCCACAACAACAGGTGAAACAATATAAAATCAGTCCTTGGTCTCAATGATGACAAACTGATTTTATATGCAAACATGCAAAAAAAAAAAAAAGGTTACTTGATTTTCATAAGAAAACCTCAGTTTAAGTTTTAGTAAAATGTTTTTTTTTTTTTTTTTTTTTGCAGATTAGAAGGTGACGGGGAGTTCACAGATTCACAAGGACTTGTGTGGACTGGGATGTTCCATAACAAAGCAGCACTGGGGCTGAAGCTCATAGTCAACATGTGACATGCACAGATACACACACCATTTAAATGAATACAGTGAAACCCTTTATTTTCTGTCCCTTTTCTGAATTAGATGGCACTCACTAAAAAGTGTTTTATTGTTTTTTTAATTTAATCACTGGATCAAGCTCAACTTTAAAATATATTTTGAAGTACTGAATTATCAAATAGGGATAGAACAATATGAGCATGTTTTCAAGACTATAAAGAGAGTCAACTTGAGGCAAATCATTAAGAATTAACGCCTGTGAAACTACTGAGAGAGATTAAGATACACAGTGACGCATTACCACAACTAGCAGCCCTGAGGCATTGATGTGATCTGTTATACAGATTAAATGACTTCGGTTCCAGCAGCATCCACTGAAGATTAAAAACACATGTTCTTACACACCGCACTTCAGAAAGAATCATGACTTTGTTTTGTGCGAGGAATGTGACTCTGTGTACAGCCATTGGTGGAGTGCATCTCCAAAATACACGAGCATGCACAAGCAGCTGAGCTCATGACTGCGGTGAGAAGTCAGGAGTTTTGTAAAAGCGTGAAGCTCAATTTCCTGTCCTCTGGAGTGAGAACGTGTTTATTGTGAATCAGGAAATCTCAATCCTGCTCCTAGAGATCTAACGCCCTACAGTCCAGTTCTAATCCTGCTTTAAATAAACCTGAAGCTCCAGTGCATTTGATTAGACTTGAAACTGAATAAGTTTTTTTTTTATTTTTTATTGCTATACCTTAATTTAATTTGGTATGACTCAATGTTCACTTCTGAGTTTATGACAAAAATTTTGTGGGTGTTTTTGCTCATGTATCTAGCGGATCCTTTCCAGAGCTCATACAGAGTTCATTGTAAAATGGAAAATTGGTCTTAAAGGTTGAAGAGGAAATTAAATCGTCTGATTTTGAGCCATAAAAATGCTAACAGCCGTCTCTATCTTTCTCCCTCTCCCTTCATCCATCCACTTACTGTAAAACAAGGCCTCTTTTTGTCTTCGACTTCATCAGACTCACATGTTTCAAAGAGGAGGGGAAGAGATAGGTGGGACAGATTAGAGAAGTGAGAAAGAAAGAAAAGTGATAGAAAGACAAAAGTCACAGAGTCAGAGAGCTCTCATGTCATTTCTAACCATTTCTAAACATAGAAGTGTGACATTTCATCAGCTTGTAAAATTGTTAGTTTGAGTAAAGAAACTCGACTAGGAAGGATCCAAACCACAGGATCTGGGAAACAACAATCCTGGATTTGGACCTGGAAGACCATCATATCATGGAGAATGGCAAAATAGAGGGTAAACAAGATTTTCTTTTAAATCGGAAGAAATGCTTAGATCTTCCATCCTGCTTCTTTATTTACATAAATAATTGATCATTAACAATGACGTCCACTTCAGAGTTCAAATAATGGCTTCTCTTGTATAGGTGCATGTTTCTGTCAGCTTCAATATGATAAAGTTTATTATCTGTAACAATAATCTGTATGAAAGTATATGTGTGTTCTTGCAGGTACAGGTAATGACATAGATGCTATAGACCTTCAGGTAATCTTAATTGCTCTCTCTCTCTCTCTTACTCTAAATAGATTAAGAAATTATGAGAAAATACATTTTACTTGTTTATTTGTTTTAAGTACATTGTTTAAATAATTGCTAATTCTAATCACACGCACACAGATTACAGCTGTTAAGAAAGTAAATGTCATTGAGACAATGAATCGCTAATAGGAAGAGTGTGACTGAACTCAGGCCACATTTAGTTTGACTCTCCCTAATGCTAATACTGTTTAACCTTCATCTCCTTTTTCCTTCTGTCTTCTCTGGTTTTGTCTCTTATCAGTCCTGGTGACCTCTGACTCCTTGTTTCAGTTGCAGGCAATGTGGGTGGAGCTAAAATCTGGAGTTGGAAGCATGGTCGAAGATTTCGCCACCCTACGGCAAACCTACAGCCGACTGGAGGAGAAGGTCTCCACCTGTCAGCAAGAAACTAATGACAAGATCCTGTCTCTCAGAAACACACTTAACACATTACAGGTTCTAACACACATATTATGTGACTTAAAACAAGTGGATAAACACACTACCGTTAAAATTTTGGGTCAGTAAGATTCTTTAAAAACAATTTTTAATACTTTTATTCGGGATGTATTAAGTTGATAAAAAAAACTTCTGAACTTTCTATTCATCAAAGCTGAAAGAAGTCTCACTGTTTTCACAAAAGTGTTGAGCATCCCAACTGTTTTTACCATTGATAATTATAAGAAATGTTTTTTGAGTGCCAAGTCGGCATATTAGAATGATTTTTTAAGTATCACGTGACACTATTGGCTGCTGAAAACTCAATTTTACCATCACAGGAATAAATTACAATTTAAAATATATTCAAATAGAAACCAGTTATTTAAAATTGTAAAAATATTTCACAATATAAATGTTTTTACTCTATTTTTGGTCAAATAAATGCAGCCTTGGTAAGACTTAAAAAAACATTAAAAAATGTACCAACTTTTGAATGGTAGTGTATTCTATGTACAAATTAAATTCATATTTCTTTTAAATAAATTAAATATTAAAATAGTCAAAATATATTGCAATTCTTTTCTAGAATAATTTCATGTTTTTTTCTGTACTTTCATTTAAAAATATTGCTCATATTTTGGTTATATTGTCTTTTTTTATTTTGTGTGTGTGAAGGAAGACATAAGTACAGTTCAAACGCAGCTCTCTGAGGTCCGGAGCAACCAAAAAGACCAACAGAGGGACCTGGACCTCATGCAGAGCACACAACACAGGTCTTACACAGTGTCTGTTAAATTGTTTAATATTCTTTTACAATTTATGCTACAGTATATTACACATTAAATTAAAAGCAATCTAGCAAGCTTGGCTTTCAGGCTGCCTTTAAAACATATAAACATGCTGGATCATTGACAGGAAAGGCTCAAGGGGGGAGGGGTCATTGGATGGCCACGCTTCTCCGAACAGCCAAACAGAACTCAATCTCATTCAGCATTACATCAGTAGCCTGTCAGCCAATCCGAGTGAGTATAACAATTTAGAGACGGATGTCTAATGAATTATTTTTTTGTACTATAGTCTAACAACCATGAGCTAAAGCCGGAAATGATTCCATGAGAGTACTACAGGTTGTGTTTGTTTGGTTAGACTCTTTTCCTGAGCATGACGGTCAAAAAAAGTCTCCAATTTGGAGGGAGAAAAAAAACAGCCGAGATCTGAAAGAACAAAACAACTCTGCTATAAGTGAGTGATATGCAGTGGAATAGAAGTGAAAGTGCTTCTATTTTCCATTTGTCATAACAACAATAGAAGTGAAAAGAACTGAAAAATGAACAAAGAGTTTTAAAATCATGTCTTTTTTCAGCTCAGAGGCCGACGGCAGCGCTGGAGCTTTTGGAGTCTGAAAGAGTGTATGTATCCTATCTCTCACTCCTGTTAAAGGCCAACATCAGTTTTAACGGCTCAGAGAACCTCAACGTCAAAGATAAACGGTAAGTATGTATCACTCTCACACATAGCATCATCTCAGAGTCAAAAAGTGGCCCAATTGATCAGAATTCACCCGACAAAAGTATGCAGAGCATCACACAAACTGCAATTAGACAACAACAGTACTTAACAGAGACTCTAAATTTAATGTCTATAATGAAACAGGATAGTATAAAGCAGGTTTTATACACAACTCAACACATACACAACTACATATTTTCTTCTCTCATCTGTTGTTGATTTTAGTATTGACATATTTGATGAAGAGAATATAATGTAAAACAGTGTTTTGAGGCGCATCATGCTGCTTTATTATTCTCTTTTCTCTCTCTTAGGCCTTTCCCTCCCTCTCTGCGTTTCTTGATTCAGCAGCATCTGGAACTCCTGCACGTCCTCCAGGAGAGAGTTCTTAAGAGCCACTGGCAAGGCATCATGGGAGATGTATTTTTAAGGCTCACCAGCAAAGAAGTAAAATATTATAATGAGTGAAAATGAGCTACATTTACCATCCTACCTTCTTCTATAGTCCACTATGTTAATATCAAATGTGTGTTTTGCAGAGTGATTTTCTGGACCATTACGTATCGTATCTACGGGACTTGCCAGAATGTTTGACGGTTGTAAGTCTGTTTTCCTCTTCAAAATCAGGCAGCTTACTGGAGGTATGTATACATACACACATTTTATATTTAATAAATACAAAATTAAAAAGACTTAACATTTCATATTTTTAAAGATCCTGATATTTGAGGCACATAGAGGCAGATTTAATACTATTATGTCAGAGAAATGGCATTTACATTATGTTTCTATGAATGTCCTTAATCAGTTTCATTTCATTTTTACCAGCTGTCGGGTTGATTTAGTCATGTTAAATAATATTAACATTAATAGTAATAATGATTACAAAAATAAATAATATAACTATATTCATTTTAATTATTATATTAATAGAATTATATATATCATCAAGAATAAATATATAATAATTGTTTATTTAATATTTACTAATATAATAATAATATAATATATTATTATAGAATAATAATATAATAATAGAACATTGAAATATTATTATTTTTTAAAGTAGTTATTTTTATATACATAGAGGTAATTTTTTTTATGGTTCCCTGTTTGCTTTGCAATTTGCTGTTTTCTAACTGTCGTAGACTTTCAGGTTTATATTACTGGTAAAAAAGTCCAAGGATTTCAGTAAATTAATCTGGATTTTACCACTAATAAAGACATATAGATATATGCTTGCTCATGTATCTTAGATGTTTGTATTGGCTCTATATTTACATAATTTTTGATACACGCATTGTCCTGTGTTTATTTTGCTGCATATTATGTCTCATTTATTTGTTTTGTGTATTTTTTTTGTCATTCAACTAACCAGTCTACCTTTTTATTCATTTATTTTGTTGCTTTTGTTTTGATTTCCACTTACTGTTGCATGGCTGATTGTTTGTCTACTTCATTTTGTATGTTAAAAGATGAGAAAAAAAAATAAAAATTATTAAACATTGAAATATTTTTTTTTTTACTGAAACCAGATCATTTAGATGTTACCACATGAAACACGTTTAGTTTACCTGGCAAACATTTATATGAATCCACACGGCTGCTTTCTGATTTGCTGTATGCATTCGAATCCAGAGTGACATCGCAGGGGATGAGACACGTCCATCGCTGCACTCTCTGCTTTTACAGCCTGTCCAACGTATCCCAGAATACCATACACTCCTGCAGGTAATCAGACTCATCTTTACTGTCATACCAACAGCATTGTATGTTTATAGGTTGTGCATGTTTGATGAAGTGACACTTGTGAAATCACCTTGGTCAAGTACTGCTACATAAAAACTGTCCAATCAAGAAAATGCATGCTGTATGTATGTGTCCATTTGTATTTCATGTGTTTTACAGAGTCTTCTGCAGCAGACAGAGTCAGAGCATCCGGACTATTACCTGTTACTTGTGTCTGTGCAACAACTCCGATCTTTCATTACCCAGTACAGCCATTTACTACAGCTTAACCAGGAGCTTCTGCATGACCACAGTCATGCCCTGCGTGAACACACACACAACCTGTGTACACACCAACAGGAGCGCCCCTCACACACCCGAAAAGAGCTAAGCAGGTAAGTGCAAAAGAACAAATATGTGAGTTACTGTGTTATAAGACTTACTGGCTCTTTTTTTTCATGTCAGGTCTACAGTGAGACAGCTGTATAAAGTCGACTATGAGAAAAATTACAGCAGTAACAGTGCACAAAAGTGAGTACATAGACGCACCAACCAATAGATATTACAAAATGATCTCTCTGTGAATTTATGGCTTTCTTCAACTTCAGACCCCTTTTTTTTACCATGCCTTCATTCATTTGGTACTTTTCAAATGCCAATTGGCTTTATGCACAGCTTCACTACTTCCTGAACTTCAGCCAGCCCTTTGTTTCCTGTCTGTCATTATTGGACAAACTGATTAATTCAGGTGTGCCTGGCCTCAGTAACAATAATCAGGCTCACCTGGACTAATCAGTTTGTCCAATAATGACAGACAGGAAACAAAGGGCTGGCTGAAGTTCAGGAAGTAGTGAAGCTGTGCATAAAGCCTATTATGAAAAGATTTGATTTGTTTAATGAATATATAAGCTTGTTTAATTATAAATCTAATAATCCTATTAAAAAATATGAATTATATTTAAAACTATGATAATTTAAACAAAGAGTAAAATGAATATAAACTATTGTATTGTATTAAATAATTATATAATAATTATATATAATTAAATAATTTTCCTGATAAACAATGTTGTTTCAAAAGTTAGTGAACTACTAAACAAGAGTCTAACTGAAGAGTGTGTTTGAGATCAAATTTGAGACATTGACTACCGTTGAAAAACATAAAATAACAAAATAATCTTATCAATCACAAATTTTTGAACGGTAGGGTATGTATGATAGCATATTTTCACCAATGAATATAAAAAAAAAGGTAACTGTTTCTCTCGCAATTGCGACTTTTTTCTCAGAAGTGTGTTTAAATCTCACAAGAAGATATAGACAAAAAGATATAAACTAGCAATTCTGACTTATTGTTTTTAAAGTTATAAAGTCAGAATTGTGAGACATATACTCGGAGTTGGGAGTTATAAACTCAAAATCACAAGTTATAAAATTGCAATTACATTTTAATTTTAGTTACGCAATTACATCTCAAATAATGAGAAAAGGTGCCTGTAATTGAAGAAACACACTTATACATTTCCAATTTGTCTTTCTTTGTAAGTGATCCCTCTCGACGTAACAGACGCTACCCTGACTATGAAGCGATGCCCTATCACTATGATCCAGAAATCCCGTCCCCTGTCTCCTTCCTGTCCGACTCTGACTCTCGCCACAAAGCTGTCTCAGTTCCTCTGCGCAGCATCCCAGAGACGGAAGGAGCAGGATCTGCCCTCACTGACGCTCTGGGTGCACTCTTTCCCTACGGAACCGGAGACTACCGCTGCTCAAGCCCATCTCATTCCTCGGACTCCAGCATTGATATTGCCTTTGTGCACTGTAGTCCTTCCAATAGTCCACCTCCACAATCCCACAGTAGGGGGCGAAGTGCTGGGGGTGTGGTTTATAGGCCCAACAGGGCCTGTGTGTCACCTGACTCTGCAGACATTGTGAGACCACACCCTCTACAGGCAGTGCAGAGAAAGAGCAAATCACTGAATGGCCTGCAAATGGACAGTATTGATAGCCACACCCACCAGACAAAAAATCCTGCCCATCCGAGGCTGGAGCGTCAGTCAAGTGGCAAATCAAGACTGAGGTCCAGCAGTCCAAAGCACAGATTCGAGACACACACTGACACAGAGGAGCAGCCACGACTAATAAATCAAAAGGTAGACACTCACACATATTTACATATTAACACTCAAACACACACATGTATAATTAACAATTAGTGGTAACTAGCAACCCCTAATTACCACTAAAAATCCTTCAGAACACCTTAGCAAACAACATCATACCAACCATAGATATACATACATAGATCCCTCATTAGCGGCTGTTTCTATGGGCCGCTAAACGTAAGCCGTCCGCCATATTGGAACAGTCAAAGCCGGTCTGTGAATATTCAAGAGCAAGTTGACTGAGCGTCTGCAACCGTAGACGCATGTACAAATATCTGAAATGGACTTCAGCGGATGATTTTGCTAAACTAACACAATACAACAAGATGAAGACGTCAGCTAACATGACATTAAAAAGTTACCATAGTAAAAGTAAAAACATTAAAATGAGAGTAAAAACCTGTAATATTGAATTTACATGATACTACATAGAGTTACATAATACATGTAAAAACACAAACCAACACATTCTCTCCTCTGAAAGGTTATCCCATTTCTTCAGGAATTTAAATCTCGCCGTTTCACAACCAGAAGCTGCACAATGTTGTGGCATCATTGATTCTTACTGTGAGTGACGACATGCTGACCGTTCCAAGATGGCGGGCGTGCCGACTTGTCTATTAGTCAATGTGCTCTCTATGTATTCATATCTATGTTGTAACCACCCACAACAGCGAAGCAATAGAAATGTGTTTAAAAAACAAAACACCTTAGCAAGCAAAATCATGGCAACCCCGACAAAACCCTAAAATTGTCCATAAATTAAAATGAAATGTTATTTTAATTAGTATGCTTTTATTTAACTGCAAGTGTGTGTGGAAGCTCATTCTGCTTGTTCCTCAGGATCCTAGAAGCCTGGTGTGGGAGGAGCTCAATTTGAGGGGTGTGTCTGATGACTATGACCACACCCCCTTGAGTGAACGTGGTAGGAAAGAAGGAAAAGGATTTAGGAACTCCTTCAAAAAGCTTTTTAAGAAGAAGTGAGTTCATAAGAATAGACACACGGATGCTTTGCTTTTACATACTGTACTCGCACTTAAAGCCATGATACTTTGTATGTGTGTCTCAGGTCTAGTGGTGATGGAAAGGAGAAGACAACAGTAAAAGCTGATTGTCAGACCAGTGGAGATCTGGAGTCCACCAAAGCCCCTCATGCAGGATTCATTGACAGAGGAACTGCTGTTTAAACAGTTTTAGAGGTTCTCAACTGGTTCTTCAGGACACAGATTTTACAATGAACATCAAGGGGTGACCCAACACACTTTTTGGTTTTTAGTGTTTGGTCTCTAAATATCTCTTGAATGTCGATTTCTTTTCATACTTTCGGCAACCAGCAATTGTGGTCAACACAATGTTTATTCTAGTTGCTTGCAAGTTAACCTGTGTTTTTACATGGGTTTCTTTTGTGGTTTATCACACACACAAGTCGTCCAAATGACAGGTAAATTTGCATCAAAATACTGGAATACTGGAAGCAAAACCTTGTTTTCTCCTCCCTTTTAGGATTGTTAGAATAGACCTGCAAGGCTATGGCACATTTTTTGGTCACAACACCAGTTGAGAACCACTGTATTTCTCACAAACACACACTAAAAAAACCCAAAATGAGCCCAAGAGCTCAAGCTGCTTCATAGCATCATTAAACATTTCTGACATAGCACACAAAACATTTTGCATGATAAATCAATTTTCAATATAATTTTGGTCAGAATTTTGAGAAATAAAGAACATCTTGCATTGTTGACGCAAATATATTCTCAAACATATAAACAAACAGGCAGACTTATCCTTCTCTTGTTGGGTTTATGATGGGCTGTGCTGACAGGATGTAAAACTAGATGTGATAAAATGATAAATTATATTAATAACTCTTATTTAACTTAATTACAATAATTATTCATAAAAAAAAATGTTATAAATACATGTTGTATTCTTTAAAAAAAAGTCACATGTACATACATTTGAATGCAATGTAAATGGTAATAAAGTACAAAAAAAGTAATATTTTAAGATAAAAATGTATTCTTGAGTATAAATGTGTGTATGTGTACAGTCCTAGTCAGAATTATTGGCACCCTTGGTAAATATTAACAAAGAAGCCTGTGTAAATAAATCTGCATTAAATATTTTGATATTTTATTTAAGTTCACAAAATCTCATCATCTATCGTTTTTCTTTATGAAATAAATGTTTTTTCTCCAATACATGTTGGCCACAATTAATGGCACATTTTTATTCAATACTTTTTTGTATTGACTTCCTTTTGCTAAGATGAGCCTGATGAGTTTGTAGAACACCTGACGACAAGAGATCAGAGAATATTCTTCCATAAAGAATCTCTCCAGAACCTTCAAATTTCCAGGTCCATGTTGGTTTCTCTTCTCTTCAGTTTTCTATAGGGTTCGGGTCAGGGGACTGGGATAGCAGAACCTTAATTTTTGTGTTGATTTTGTTGTTTGTTTTGGATCATTGTCCCGATAAAAGACCCAGCCACGGCCCATTAGAAAATATAATGGCTGCCACGTGCGCATGTCCGTTAAGTCCATGAAACTGTAGTGTGTCCCATCTGTCATTTTAGGTTCCAGAAGGGTCCTTCTGAATGAGGACCCCTTTGCGGTCGATATGGGCCCTCGATGCACACTTTTGCCGAGCCCGCACTGAAGCGAGCTCCACAGCAGACTTCTTCCCGACAGTCATAGCATTCAAAGAAAGTGCGGACTCAGAGGAAGATAGTGGACAGTGCCCATTTAGGACAGGGCCTCATCTTCAAGTTGTTCCAAACCTGTATGAGTTTCTTTATTCTGCTGAACACAAAAGAAGATATTTTGAAGAATGACAGTTGAGGGTGACATTGACTTCCATTGAAGGAATAAAAATACTATGGAAATCAATGGCTATCGTCAACTGTCTGGAATTTGTCCTTTGTGTTTCCTCACATTTATACTCCTGTGAAACAATAAGTCATGGCTGGACAATTTCTTGTTCCTAGTCACCCTGATGTGCTAAAAAATATAAATATGAATGGGAATATACTTCAGAAATATTTTACTCAAAAGAAATTCTATCTGTACCAATAATTGTGGCCAATGAGTTTTGGAGAAAAACATTTATTTCATAATGTGATTTTCCCCCCACTTTCTATTGTCAATTTTTGAATGAAAGATCAAAAGGATAACAATACAGATTTATTTTCATAGCCAATAATTCTGACCATGACTGTATATTTGACAAAAATAACACCATTCAGTTGCATTTGATCTTTTTTCCACCTTGGTTTAATGTGTTAAATCTCATAAAAGAGTTTCACATTTGAAACAAAATATTGGCTTTATACAGTCTGTAAAACTCAAATTATTTTACACTATATACAAGACATGTGCATCACATTACACAAGAGAATTATGCTGTAGTGGACATGGAGTAGTTAAACACACGCTCTGTACTCAAAGCATCCAATATCACATTTGTGACTCTCAAACATACAGAGTAAAGGTTACTGGAGATTAGGCTCAGCCTCAGACATGGTTTCATTCAGGATCATGGACCATGTGACAAGACCATTAAAACTGCTGTAAGGGAGACACTCTTCTAGTCTATTTGCAGTAGTGTTTTCTTATTTATAATGGTTTTAAATGCATGTTAGAGGTAGAGCCGACATGCTAAATTTGCGCATTCAACTAAACAAAACATGATTTTGTTATTTTGGAACAAAAAATGGAACAGATAGTATTCAGATATGACACCATACAAACTGATGCTAGAAAGCTTCACAGACAGCTACATTCTAGAAAGAGCTCTTTTTCTGACTTCCCCTTTCATATTTACACATACTGCATTCATAAGACATTGTTATCTCTAATCGGTTTTCAGTGAGCCTGATAAATAGGTTTTCTTTGTCTGTTATACTCTACTATTGACATCACAGCCTGTAAGTGCGCAGACGTCACTCATTAACACACGCGGCACGCTGAAAAAAGCACATGTGAGCAAACGTATTGTGCAAACCTTCAATAACAGTGCTTGGTAATGAAAATATGATACTTGGCTTTTCTGCATAAATAATGAAATATAAAATCTCTAAAATCACTCTATTCTCATTAAGGGGCTCATGATGATACTAAACATGATGCTGTTACAGTATAGGGCAGCAAATATAGGCTATATAATTTAATTATTCAATGCTTAATCCACCAAGGCTGTGCTAACAAAAATGGTTCATAATTTATAAAACAATAGAAACAACTACTCCATTGTCTGTTCCTGTGCTGTTAAAAATGAAATATGGAGCTATATATTGTGTGCAAAATCCAGTCATTTAAATAGGAAATGTGATCACCAAATATTTCTGCACGCAGATTTTGCATCGGGTTCAAGTTGGTCACATAAATTCCCCACATCAACCAGCAGAAAGCTGTTTGGTTTTAAAGTGACTTCTGTGTGAACAGTGATTCATGGATCCCTATATTTGACAATGGATCTTTTTGATCACAAGATTTCGCTAATATTACTGCACTTTTGAGATAAAAAAAAAGTGGCACCATAAATTTGAATGAAGAGAAAGAGATGAAGGAGGAGGAAAAAACAGTGAGTTGGTTCGATTTACAGGTGTCGTGCCGAATTCTGTGACTCACTGAATTCTGTGTCCGTAGTAGCTGCTGTATTGAGCTAATCCTAACTAAACATCACTACATTATGTGTACGGTCACATAATTAGGTGGGTAACAGAATTCGGAATAACACGGGTTGACACAGAGCGCATTTTGGCGTTCCACTGGGCTGTTTTAAATAGTTTTTCTATGTAAACAATTGTGAAATGTATTATGACAGAGAGGAGCTGTTTACAGGGCTGCGTCACTGCAGTACTGAAAGCTACGAAGCCAACAAGATGGTACGACACCTGTAAATCACGCCAGATATAAAAGCCAGGTAATTTGTTTCCTCTTTTAGACAACTGTTGTACTAGACTGCTGTGTTTTTACATTAGTTATTTAAGTCATACAGATCTGATGGTTGTGTATCAAGGTGTGTCTGTCGAGTTTAGTTTGCACTGTTTCTGTGTATTGAAATGGATCTATAGTAAGGTTATGCAGTTTACCAGTACCATTGATTTGACCATTATTAGATTTGTTAATGTTACCGTTACATGCTAAGCGTATCTATAACGCATTTTAAACGGTCTACCTACGTCTGCTTGTGCTGCGTTCACACCATGTCGTAATAGAGTGGTGCAGGTATGACATCACTTTGTAGGCCAAAACGCGGAAACGAGTTAGCATTTTCAGCATCGTCCCAAAAGTCAATGGTTTTTTTGAATGGGGATTTATTCTGTGACATAAAATACATCAGTAATACCCCACTCGTGATTATTTGAAGCTGTAACGTGTCTTGAAAAAGGTTCAGGTACAGGTACAGAGGCTGTCGAGGAGATTAAACGTCATCACGCCGAAAAGGTAAGCTCAGTCCGCTTTTACAGCATCGTTATGCTTATAATTGTGCTCTTACAAACTATTCTAACTCTAACGTTCTGGGAAAATGTTTTTAGATAAAAACCGAAAGTGTTGTTGGAAGCTTAGTGATGGTGACGCTGAAATCGTGGGACCGTGGTGTACTGCGTTTATAGCCTACATTCAGCTTTTTACTTCTGGTGACTGCATTTAGGCTTCAAGTATTTTTCATCTGTGAAAATGATCTTTATGGACAAAATGTGTAAGTATCAAACCTTTGTTGATCACAGAACTTTTTTTTTTTTTTTTTTTGCGATAATCCAAAAGCCTTTGGAAAAATCCTATTGGATTTTTGTCGAGGGAGCCACAGTGTGATGCTAACGGCCGGTTGGCCTGCAAGGTGACATCATACCTGCACCACTCTATTGGGGTTATGCGCAACAAACTTCCATATTCTGTAAAACAGGTCGCATCACTTCCGATTCAGCTCTTTTGTATGTGCTTCCATAAATATAGAGCTGTTTTTACTGAAGATGCCTTCAAAGGAGCGAGCAAAGATGAGTATAACTGATGTCAATCGCATATGCAAATTGATATAAAAGAAAATTCTCTTTGGATATTAAAATTTAATTAACCTTCAACAATAAAAATAACTAGCTAGGTTAGCTGATTACTTTAAAAAAGTCCATGGATATCGCTGTCAGTTCACTTTCTTCGACAAGCGGATGCGATGAAACCCGTTTTCCTGTTTGTTCATGTGACATAACATTTGACATAAGCCTTTTACCGTAATTTCAAATCGAAGCTGTTCACATCCTCGGACTGGGAATTATGTGTTTCTATGGCAACACTATCAACTAATTACAAGTTCTACGAGTACATAATTACGGTAATTACGACATGGCGTGAACGCACCTTTGTATTAAGTATCGATTTTGTATCAATACGAGGTTCCAGGGGCTGGTATCACACTGAACCAAAAATATGTAGTGTTTTATTTCAGCTATCTTTGTGTAAGTTTTTCAGTAGTGTTGTGTTCCGTAGTTTAAAAATGAAAATGAGGTGTATAAGTCTCAGGAATATGACTTTTGTTGCGTGCATTACGTAGTGTGTGTTAAGGCAGTGTGTTTTCAGAAGCTGTTCTCGTGGCCTGCGAGGATGTACAGATTACTTTGAGCCGTGGGGTCTTCCGTCGGTTTGCTTTCCAACACCACCACTCTGAGAAAGACAGAAATGTTTATGAGAACCGTGCTGACTGTGGCTCTGCTGTGGTATAGTGTAAGTGTTGGTGAGGTCTCACCTGTCTGCACCCAGCAGCCTGTAGGTTCGTGAGTTATCAGCGATCTCCTGAGTAATCTAAAGCAGAGAACATCAGTTACCAACTACACACATTTTGTCTAAAGGTTCGGTCACATTTATCGTTCGTCATCGAAAAATTGTGGCCAAAATCCTGTCATTGTTCCGTATGCGGGTGAAATGTTCCCCGCACAGATTGTGCTCATGTTCAAGTAGGTTACGTGAATTTGCCGCATTGACCAACAGAAAGCTGTTTGGTTTGGTTGTGACTTCATGAATTGCTCCACTGTTGACAATGGACAATGGACTTTTTTTGCCCACAAAATTTTGCTAATGTGACCGCACCTTAAATCTAGAGCACTGGTTACCAGCTATGAATGTATAATCTAGTTCAGTGGTTCTCAACTGGTGGGTCACGATGCTGTGTGCATGAAACCATCAAAATCACTGTTGTATGTTTTGGGCACCACTTGATGTCAGCTGTAAAATCTAGGTCCTAAAGCAAAACTAGTTGAGAACAACTGAGTAAAAAGTTCACACGCATAACACACCTCACTGTTTTTAAAGCTTCGCCCCTGCATTCCATGCTTCCAGAACGCCAAAACACTGTCCTGCAGACACACTTGAAAAAAGACAAATAAATTATTATTAATCAAAGAACATAATGAATTCTCCCATCTGTCTTGATTTAATTTAAAACTTAATTTAGCTCTTACCTATTGCCTCAATCTGGAAGTTAAAGGTAAGTTCAGTTGACAACTTCCTGTTGGATTTTAACCTGCCCTGTAAATTCACCAACTTTATACACCCTGCAAAATATACAGCAGAAACTAATTATAATGTAGTAATGACTTCCCAGAGATGGAACTGAGTTTGTGCAAATGCTTGTTTGAACATGAATCTGTGCTACAAGTGCTGACAAATATCAAGAGAAAAAAACCCTGTGTGAATTCAGCAATTAGGAGGCAATATCAGGTTAATGTACATGTGGTTTTACCACACTGTGCCACAAACTAGCCCTTAACTGGTGAAAAAAAATAAAAATCTTTAACACAGCTTAAAGTGTTTAATTGCTTTTATAAAACTATTATAGATAGAATAATCAATATTCCCAATAATATTAATTAATGTAATTAATTGTAAATATTATGCATTTCATTATTATTGCCATTATATTTAAAGCTGCAGTCTGTAGTTTTTCCTCTTTGTCACCATCTCTGTTCGAAATCTGCAATTGCAGTTATTCGCGGAATTATCAACTTTACGTGGGTTGTGCCTCGGCTCGGCACTGCGCGGATGAATCCAATGTTTTGAGGAGAATGTGCGGCTGTCAGTCACCGCGCCGGTGTGGATACTGTCATTCAGAATCACAGATTCTACTTTTTGGAAGTATGACCAACATGAGAATTTTCACCGGGAAATTCAAGGCGAAAAAAAGCATTGCAGTAAATCGCGCTGATTAAATCTAATAATTGCTTATCATATCAGGTCAAACCGTGCAAATTATACTTTGTTCTCAAATTGTTAATGTTAATAACATCAGCATTGCGTGACTACATTTATACCATGGTCTGGGCGAATACTCGATTCTGATTGGCTGCAGGGTGTCCATTAAAAAGTGATAGAGGACACCTAGTAAAGGAGTTCTGGTGAAACTGACCGTTTACCGTTCGAAATTAATAAATAAATGCGCTGGCTACATCAGCTGTGAGTAACCATAGCAACAGGCAGTCAAAGTATCCGTTTACAATTTATTGTATCAAAAAAACAAACATCTAGTTAGCCAATTATACAATGCCTACCTGTGTGTTTTAATTCTAGGTTAAAAAAAACAAAAGTGTAACGCCCATGGCTAGACAAGCCTAACTTACATGAAAAAAAATATGTTAACTTTCTGGCTCGTAAGTTAGCTAAACTGAAGGGTTCTACGAGCTGAGCGGAATATAAATATCTCTGGTTGCTAAATAAACCGTCAGGCGTAACCAGGGAAACCATGTTATTGTTTGTAAAAACTTTAGATTTCGATTGTAAAACTAATTAAAATATAAACTAATGTTTTAAAAATGTGTTATTTGGCAAGTGACCATGGTATAAGCGGGTTAATGCCCTTCGAGGTGTCCATTGTCTAGGCATTAATGGACATAGGCGGAGGCAACCGTCCGACGCGCACGCCTCGCCGCCGTCCATTAATACCTGACAATGGAACCCTCGTCGGGCATTAACCCTTACTTAATGCCCTTCAGATATTTATCCTTGTTTTCGCATGCCCGGTTGCAGTCTCTTTGTTTCTGTAGCCACTCTGAAGTCTTTTGCATTTTACAATGGATGAATCTCCAGTTGTCACTGGTGATTGTCGTATGAACCTTTCTGGATCCGCCATCAAATTGATAAGTTTAATTATATCAAGTGCTGTGAGAAAAGGCTATAAATCTCCACCTCCAACATCCTCACACGCAATTTCACATGGAAATCCACCAGTACCACTGGAATTAAAAACATTATTACAAGCTTACCGTTTTAAATCGAGCTAGCAAGCAGATAGTTTTGAACACTGGCTGGTTATGTACTTGCTCAAAAATTTATTTTGGATAATTTTTAACCCAAAAAAGTTATGGACTGCAGCTTTAAATTGAATATTATTTTAGAAGAAATAGAAAATATGATTATATTATTTATTATAATACAAGCATATATTTTATTTACTTACGATCTAAACACACAAGGACAGTGTCTCTCTCCAGCTGAGTCACATGAATGACACATGTCTGAGGTGTTTCTGGAAACACAAAACACAACAAGGGTTCATACAAGACCAAAGAGCAACACTCTAAAAGCTCCAAACATTTTTAAGCAATCCAATCCAAACCAAAAAATCATTCTGTTTTGAACACAGTGAGACTCTGTAAAACTGACCGGGCTCTGTGAACGCGGGGGTGGCAGCATTAGGATCAACAGTGCCAAATGTGACCACCTGATCAGGGTGGCTTCCTTTACTGACTGCCACACAAACCAGTGGATAATGCTGCTCAGGAACCACCAACATCTCAAAGACTTCTAATGGACACGGCAGGGTGAGGTCTATGCTCTGGACAGACACAAATACACAGGATTATACTAGATAGATTTATAGATAGATTCACATTGTGTTTCTCAATATCTCACTTACCTTTATGAGCATGAAGCGCTGCATGGCTTCCACCCATTCCAACAGCATTACACTGGACTGGAAAGCTCCACATAAGTACTTATGGCCTGTGTATGGGTTTCGCACTATAGATACACATACAGAAGCATGTTGACTGTATCTGTGCAACGAATATTTACTATTTATGTGCAAATCCTAAAAAAAGTGCAGTGTTCTGATCATATAATTTCAACACAAAACATAAGAATGCATCTATAGTTCCATACTGACCTACACAGCATTTCTGGCAACCCCTTGTATCTGGGATTTTATTGGACACGGTAAACTTTCTGAAAGAAAGGCATTACCATGACAGTACTAAAATGCAAAATGATGAGATTTCATAGGATGTGCATTTAACAAATATTTAAATGAAATTATGAGTTTTATCAGAAAAAATTCCTACACAAAAATAAAAAGATTTGAAATGGATTAGTCTGAAACATACCGTGGGATGATTTTGTCAGGGAGTTTATGTGTTGGTATGGCAACAGGTAACTTCTGCATCTGTCGAGCTTGCTCAAAGAGCCCTGCCAGGTTGTAAGAGTACAGCTGCGACGCTTTACCTGTGGAACACACACACACATATGAGCATAGAATTACATTATGGTAAAAACATTAAAATACCCTTCAAAAGCATGTAAATCTTTTCCTTATTGGTTTTATCTCACCTGATATAGAAAGCAGCCAGTTGTTCATTACATACACCCATGTACACCTCCGTGGAACCAGCTGCATGTAATAATAAAAATAATAAAAATTAAATGTCAGTTCCTCCTGATTAAATAAACTCTGATCGCTTTTAAGAGTAAATACATAAATATTGATTATATATTTGTATATATATATATATATATTATTACACTGATGTGCCAAAACTTCATGCCCATGGTCATAATGTTTTGGCTCATTTGGATCATCGGTGTGTGTGTATATGTATATATATATATATATATTCAAAATGCAAAAACATTTTTAGCTATATATCCAAGCCCATCTAAGTTATTCCTGACCTGTTCCATGGAGCTCTCATGAATTTCATTCAGATTGAGGGTATAAATTCCTTCCTCTGCACCAAAAATCAGATACTGGTCTGAAAATGAGTCACAAGAAAATCTCATAAAACTGACAAAACCCATAATTATGATAATGATGTAAGAAGCATTTGATTTGAGAATGCCTGAGCTCTGCATGTGCTGTTTCTCACCCCTGGTGTTTGGGTTTATCCATGAACAGGCACAGTGAATCTTCAGGGGACAGCCATTAAACACTTTAGAGAAACAAGCTCCCATCTGCAGAGCAGAAAGAAAGATCAACATCATGGCAGCAGGGCTGAGCTTGAATGGTCCAAATGTACTGTAGTTGCTATGACATTTGTGTTAATCCAGGTGTGTTGATACCTTCAACCTTTCAATATTTGTGTGTATGAAAGAGATATAGCAAGAAAATGAGTGAAAGATGGAGAGATGAAAAGACAGATAGAAAGAGGAAGAGCTGGATGACTCACATGTACTTGAGGGGTTGGTGGGAGGCCATTACTGAACGGTAGCTACAAAAAGAGAAAGAGATAAAGTCTGTTAGATGCTATCACAGTTTACAAGAGCAGAATATGTTTTATTAAACTATTTTTCCCCCCTTGTTTAATCAGGGAATCGTAATTACATGGCAATAACTGTAAATTCCACACACTGACCAAATATACCACATCTATCTCCTCCTGTCCTTAGCACAGACATTGCAGTTTCATAAATTAAGTTTGGGGTTTAGAACAATCCTAATTATAACAATAACACAATGAAAGAGGCAGAGATATTTCCCTTACTTGGCATTTGAACCATTTTGATGAATTTAAAGTAATAAAAAAAAAAAGGGAAAATTCTTTACATCAAAAAACATAAACGTTTCAAAATAACCATAAGGAGATTAATCGCACCTTTAGACTAGATGAGGGAAGGGAGGCCAGTTTTTCTTTCTCTCCATTCTCCTGAACAGAAACTCCATTACCTGCACATAAACACTCACATTGTATCATATGTCCTTTGAAAGCTGAAATCACATTCAAGGAACAAAGACACACCTATGTAAATTAGGCTCATTATAGAGGCACTCCTATTTAAAAAAACAAGATATTTAGCTGTTTTTGTTGCACTGTCACTGCCTGCAGAAAGCAAGTGGTAAACAGAATTTGTGTACATTTTCTATTAATGCAGTGGTAATTCATAAAATGATGAAATAATGGAGAAGAGACATTCATGATTAATGATTCAGCATGGGCATGTTTGTTACCTTATTTGCATAATCCATTAAGTTAATTGTTAACGAGTTGTAAAACAACACCTTCTAACTACTAGGTCACACTAAGTAGATCTCAACTAAACTACGCTAAAGCTACAGCTATCTATGTTGTGGGACTGAACTAATGCCAAAATGACACAAGGAACAGAGGAAGACTGGCAAGGCTGTCTACCAATCACAAGAGGGCACGCTCAAGTGGGCGGTGCTTAGCTTACTTTGTTCTTTCTGTTGTTCTGCATGAAGCCATTCCCAGAACCTATAAATCCCATCATCCCCTGCTGGCTCTGTCTGAGCGTGCTCAGATGGTTTGTTACCTAGACTACTACGCCTGTGTGGGGGCAGGCGAGGAGGTGGCGGTCTGGGGGGCACACAGGAAGCAGGCCGAACAGGAGGGGTGGAGCTCCCAGAAGCTGGACAACGTTTAATGGTCCCTTCTCCGGTATTGTCCTCTGAGACGGTACTGTTCTGTGCGGGAGACAGAAGCTTCGGCTAAGAAGTGATAAAGAGAAAGAGTGTGAGTTTCACATTCTGTCAAAAGTCTGTGAGACAGAGAAGTGTATGTGTATCTTTTACCTTGGGTGGCAGAGGAGGTGGTACTTTAGGTCTCATGGTTGAAGTGGAGTTACAGCTGTAGGCACAGACACACAAGAGCATATTGTAATGATTTATAGTCATACTGCTAAACAAGATATGGTAACACAAAAGAAGGACGCAAGGACCAATGGCACAGTTTCTTTGGACAGTGGAAACGCATACAGGGATACAATCAGATGAAGAAAGAGACCATATACAACGTCAAAAACAGTAAAGAAGAATAACCGGCAAGCAAGAAATGGTCATGTGGACACAAGACACACAAACATAGTGCTAAATATGCTCAAATCTAATCTACCTAATCCAGAGCAGAATATTTTGAACTTCTTAGAGTTTACTCTTTCAATCCTTCAAACTGATGGAAAACAAAAGTGTTTCTGTATGTCTTGTGCTCATCACCAACTTATTAAACAAACCAAAACAAATGTCTGATCAAATTCCATGACTGAAACACAAATCAGAATCAAAACACAACATACACAAATAATTCACTATAGTAGATTTTTATAAATAGATTTTGGGAGTAGAAAATGTGAGTGGTGCTTGTCCCTGCAAAATTCATTGCCACAATGCTAGGGTGTTCTGTTGTTGCTATGTGATTGATAGGAGGTTGCTTACTGTCCTGAGTCAATAAAGCCCAGTCCTAAATCTTTATGATACTTGGGTTCCTCCTTCAAAGTAAATCTTAGGATTTTTTTTTTTTTTTTTTTTCATTTTGTCATCTGGCAGATTTTTTTTTAAGTCTTATAGTGTAGAAAAGTAATAGCATATGCAGTTGTATTAAAGTAAGCATACAACAGAAATTGTGATCGTCTCCCCTATTGTGACGTATATCAGAGTTAAACAGCTTTTCAAATGAGCAAAAATGTAAGGCGTGACTTGATTTTGTCCATCAGGAATTGATTGGATTGTTGTTGTTTTTGTTGCCAGGGGGAGGGCAAGTTCATGTTTTTGATTAATGATTATGAAGGCACATGACTAAAAAAAATTAAATAATGATGTCCATGGATAAATTGCAATATTCCATAAAAAACAAGAATTGTCAATTTTGGTGACGTTAATATGTCCAAGCATCTAATAAAGCAAAATACATACTTAAATGTCTTGGCTTACCATAAACTTTCATACTATAAATTAACTTACAAACACAAATGCCTATTTTCACAAGGATCATGCATTTGAGCACCAGCAAGCAACTTAAAACCAGACACACTACAAAACAAACCGAGCACATCCTTCAATCTCACATCCAGTTGACACTAAGAGACAGGAAGTCACGGATGATCACAGGTGTTTTTGATAACATTACACATTACATCTTCCTCTCACTTACTGCAAATCATCACCTTCATCCTCCTCCTCATCCTCTAAATGTGTCACATGACCCCTGAGAGAGATGAAGAGGGTGAGGCTAAGAAGGTAAAGCAGCCAGAGAAGAATGCAGAGAACACACACACACACTCAGCAGTAAGAGCTTCTCAGTGCCAAGCAGCGATAAGACTGCAGAGGTGATTAGTTTGCAAAGCAGGTTGGCTGACCAATCAAAAGTGACAGTGGGAGTACCTTTGATTGAGCTCCTCAGCAACAGATTTTAATAGACTCCTGAAAAACAATGAATAAAAGAGAGAACTTTATATATATATATATATATATAAAACAACACATACACACGCACAGACATATTAGTATGTATACACATACACACATGCACAAAAATATTAGTAAACTAGAGATGTGTTGCAACATCAAATTGACAAGCGACTAGTCAACTAGTTATCCAACAACAAAACTAGTTGATTAGTGTAGTGACAGGTTGTAGCTGAAAGCAGCTTTGTTGCTTTAAATTAAACTAGAGATGAGTCATGATGGATGACTACTAGTTGACCAACAACCGATTAGTGAGCCGGCTAGTTTTAGCCATTCCTTTATTTATTAAGGAATTAATTTATTAGTTAACTAAATTAGTTAACATAATGAACTGCACTTCTACAGTATTTACTAATCTTTGATAATGTTAATTTCAACATTTACTAATACATTATTAAAATCAAAAGTTGTATTTGTTAACATAGTTAATGCACTGGTAAGTAACATGAACAAACAATAAACAGTTGTATTTTTATTAACCAACGTTAACAAAGATTAAAAAATACAGTAACAAATGTATTGCTCATGGTTAGTTCATGTTAGTTAATACATTAACTAATGTTAACAAATGAAACCTTATTGCAAACTGTTACCATTTATTTACAATTTTGTTATTCTAAACTAGGGATTGGTCACAATGGTTGCATAATCAACTAGTAACCAACAACAACCAAGTTGATTAGTCAGGTAGACTAGTTTTAGACAATTTCAGTTTTGTTATTTTAATCTATCAACTGACTAGTTGATCAGTGAGGTCGACTAGTTTTAGACTATTCCTTATTCAGTCATTAATTTTTTAGATAGACTCGCAAATAAAGAATACAACACACTCACTTGTTATTTCCCAGAATGCTTTGGGGCTCTAACGGTAGATCCTACATAAATCAAAAAGACAGTCAGACAAGTAATCCAAACAAATAGACTAAACAACAATAAATCAATGGCAGAGTGTCACAAACCATCTCATGATGCGGTTCGGTCTCCTTCCTCAGAGGTGGATCGAACTTCACCTTATCAACTAGAAGAGGGCCACGCATAGACTTCAGATTTCTTTTTGTGCTTATAAGTATTCTGAGAATTCTTGTGTTTATTTCAGTTCAGTGAGTTAAGGGCTGCTTGACAAATGACTTACAGTTAATCTCAGACAGGGTCTTTCCGTCTCGTGAGCTCCTGCTAGTTGAGCGGATTCGATGTGGAACAGACACGGGAGACTGCAAACAAAGGGACCACAAGTTAAGTTTTCAAACTTGAAAGCTAAAAAGCCTTAGTTATATACACACCTTTTCTGAATATCTGTAACAAGACCCTAATCTTTCCTCAAGGCAACACCGCAAGCCACTGCCGTTACGTGTTAAAACCAATAAACTCTCATGCGTTCATACACACACACAATCGCATATACACACTGCAGCATTGGTAACCTGACACACTTGTACCTGGCAGCTGGCAGAGCCAACTGTCTGCCCTCACTTAGGATCTACATCTAAAGAAACAACCAATTAGAAATCAGTGCTTCAGTTTAAAGCCCTAACATGGTTTCCCAATGGTTAAAATGTAAACAAAGAGTCGGATATATGGAATTACCTCTGGGTCAATGTCATCCTCTTCTGCATCACTGTGTGTGCTGTGGTCAGGGTTGTTGGCTTTGTCCAGTAGCTCAATGGCAAGAGTCCGGCTAAGTGGCTGGGTAACAAACGGGTGCTGCAAAAACAGAAGTGATGCAATGTTATTGAACAATGGTGGATCAATGGAGCCAATCATATATGTTCTCTGAAGGAAGGGCAGATCTTACCTGCAGTAGTCTGTCAGCCGTTGGTCTCTTCTTGGGATTTTTGATCAAAGCGATTTTCACAAAGTGATGGAAATTATTTGTCCTTCATGAACCAAAACAAACCAGATGAGAATGAAAAAATGTACCAAACATTTGAATAAATCTAAGTTTGCCGTTACAGTAACAAGCGTAGAATTGAAATAGGGAGGGTTTAAAAGCAGATTATCTGCTGATAAGTGATAAAAGTGATAAATCATCTTTTTTTGTAGTGGGAAAACTTTTTTAGGTGAATGACCTTCTGGTTAGGAGAACCCAATAACAACAAACTGGCATTTTGCCACTGATTCCAAAGCAAAATTGGATTGAATCACCCTGATCCAGATACACACTTTTTCAGATTACCAAATCTGGATTACTATTGCCCTACGGAGCCCCTAAAGGGACATGGTGATGGAAAAATATGAGATGGGGTGAAAAAAAATATTTCAATGCTTTTGCTTTCTCTCAGAAAAGTTTTGCGTAGCATTCACACGAGAAAATGTGTTCGCTTGCAAAAAAACTTTTGACAGGTTCATCTCATTGGGCCAATGTAGATTACAAACAGTGATAAAAAAAAAAAACACTTTTTATTATATTTCTTTTTAAACTTTGGTTTGATATTTACAACATTTTGGGGATTATTTTATGGTGCCAAATTCTCTTTTTTACTTTACTGTAGGCTAGCGAAAAACTACTTGTAATTTATTACTTTAACAGTTAAACTAATTAAGAGCAAAATTAAAAATATGTGTTTGTGTATATTACATGATATAAATTTTGTATTTTTTGACCAGTTTTAAAGTTTTATAAAAAATGTTTTCCTGAAATCCACCCTTCTGCTGGGATCAGTATAATCATGTTTTTTTTATCAAAGGTATCCCAATCTTACTAAAAAGTTTGGAATACAAACTGTTGATTTGATTCAGGATTTTTTTTATCTAATCTGATTTCAGAATCGTTTTTTCTTTTTCTTTTGAAACAACCCATTTTCAAGGGTTTGATCCAATCCGATTGCCGAAACCCGGTCAGATTACTTTTGAACAACTGGGCCCAGAGCATCAAATCAGCATATCAGAATGATTTCTGAAGGACACTAAAAATTCAGCTTTGCCATCACAGTAATACATTACATTTTAAAATATATTCAAATGAAAAATTTATATTTCACAATATTATTGTTTTTTAAGCCTTGGTGACCATAACATACTTACATTAAAAAATTAAATTAAACGTTCTTTTCTTTCCTTTTTTTTTAACTCACAACCACACTTTAGAACTGTAGTGTATTTTGTTTTTCTCATTCGATTTTGAACGGTACTTATGAATCATTTAGAAATACTTACCACTTAACTTTGTCTTTCAGCTTAGGTGGTTGGAAACTGCTCTTGGTCATTAGGAAGAGTGCTCTAAAGGGGAAACGCAACAGAGAGGACAGTAAGAGAAAGTAAGACAAACGTGGAAAAGAGGGAGAACACTAGAGTGTCGTCATACTACGGGTGACCTGTGTAATATATATTAACTATGAAACGATGCAATTCATTTAGCAGAATCTGACATCCATTGTGCAGCAATAGACTGCTCATGATGGAGGAAACTGGACACTCACCTCATGGGGTGCAAGTCGAACATCGGCGGCTCCAACTCTGCCAGCTCAATAGCTGTGATGCCCACGGCCCAAATATCACACAGCTGATTGTAGCCCCCTTTCCTCTCGACTGCGGCCACCTCAGGTGCCATCCTGCAGAGTAAGACACATAAAGAAAGAAATGATATACATGTGACTACAGTGCTGACTAGAATCAATCTATTAAAAACATCCTATCACACAAGAGGCAAAAGAGGACTGACATACCAATATGGAGTTCCGATGAAGGACTTTCTTTTTGCTAAAGTGGCTGATATCTGAGCCGAAACTCCAAAATCAGCTGGAGAGAGACAAACGTAAGTTGTGAGAGAGGAATTCAGTGGTTCTGTTTTAAATGAAAAACTGCCAAGTCATTCATATAAAGTGCTTTTTTCACCTAGCTTAACGTAGCCATTGTCCGTCAACAGAATATTTGCACCCTACAAAACAAGAGTAGAGACACAGTGAGCGATTTTGAAAGATAATAAATCATGTTCATTTGATTCAGACTAATTCATTAATGAATCATTTAGACCAATTTGTGAACCAGTTCGACCAATTCATTGAACAAAACCATCTTAAAAGAACAATTCACTCAAGTTTTACTCTACACAAAAGCAATTACTGGCCAATGAAATATTTTAGAGCATAGCTGAATAATTACTATAAAAATTGTCAAGAATAGCATTTTCCCCCAAAAAACACTTTATTTATCTCATTTATTTTTGCATGATAACATCAGTCGAGTGGGACATGAGTGAAAATTATGTCAACACTGTGAGATTTAATTATATTTGAAAGTCCAGTTTGTACCTTTATATCTCTGTGGATCTTGCCTTTGTTATGGAGATAGTAAACACCCTGACATGAACACAGAAACCCACATTAATCATTCAAAATTGTCACACATAAGAACTTTTACGCATCAGTAAATGTGTGTATATACCTGTAGGGTCTCCCGACATACATACGCAATCTGGGATTCTGACAACGGCCCGGTAACTGAAGATACAGATATACATCTATATGAGAGAACAGCTCAACATGATAAATTAAAATCTCCCGTTTTGGAATCGGTAACAATAGTTACCATGGTATATATCCTGGAGAGAGCCCCCACCACAGTATTCCATGCTGATCCATAATTTATCTCTCCTGAAACAGGGACATTAAGACATCATTTATCAAGCCTTGTCAGACCATTTCTGGCCTCAACAGCTTAAGAGAGGTGCATGTTGGGTTGTGATGTGTACTTCAACAGGTAGTGAAAAACATCAACAATTAATAAAAAGAGAGAAACAGAATATACACTACCGTTCAAAGGTTTGGGCTCCGTAAGATTTTTGAATGTTTTTGAAAGAAGTCTCTTACGCTCATCAAGGCTGAATTTATTTGAACAAAAATACAGTAAAACCAGTAATATTGTGAAATATTTTCACAATTTTAAATAACTGTTTTCTATTTTAATATATTTTAAAATGTAATTCATTTTTGTGATGGCAAAGCTGAATTTACTTTTGTCATTACTCCAGTCTTCAATGTCACATGATCCTTATATGCTGATTTGCTGCTCAAGAAACAGGTTTTAGGATTCTTTGAAATTGAAATCTTTTGTAATATTAGAATATTACTGTAATTTTTGATCAAATTAATGTGTCCTTGCTGAATAAAAGCATTTCTTTCAGAAAAAAAAAACTAATCTCACTGACTCCAAACTTTTAAACGGTAGTGTAATGCTAGTAAAACAGTTAATTAAAAAAAAAACAAAAAAAAACCTGCTGACATTTAATGAACAACCAGTCTGCCCCCGTATTACATTATACAATGAATAAAACATATTAATTGAAGCTAGAGACATAAGGGCGTTTGATTGCATGTGTGTACATGTACCTGAGGTAACTGCCAAAATATGCAACAATGTTTGAGTGTTTACAATCTTTCATCATTATAATCTCCTGCTGCACCACGTCAAAGTCCTCTCCTGCAAATCAATTCACAAAAAAATTCAGTAAAAAAGCAAGTTGAAGCAATGTTGCAAAGAGACTAAAATATGAAAACAGTTCCATGTTGGAAACTGAAACTGATGAAAACAGAATGGAAAACTGAATTCTGTGCTAAAAAGTGAGTGATCACACTGCCTCTATTCACAATGCATCTACAATCACACCATTACAATGCATGAACACACCATACTTGTAATATTTAACTATTCAAGAATAGATGGATAGTGATAGGGCACTATCTACCGGTGGTTAAACAGCACTGTGTGTGCAGCAGCGCTGGCTCACCTGGTTCTAGTTTGATGACTTTGATAGCAGCCAGTTCTCCAGTGCTGACATTACGAGCCTGGAAAAGAAGAGCATTAGAGCTGTGATTCCATAAGCCCAACAGGTGTACAATAGCACAAGTGCTAATGTCAAATGCTAACTCACTGATCCCAATTGCTCTACTCATTATTATATGCATTAGATATAATTATTAGACATGTTGTATGGATCAGACCCACATTTAAAGATCAATCTGCTCCAACAATAAAAGGAGAAATTTGCAATTTCTGCACCACTAGTGGCATCAAACAAGTTTCCGAAACATTCCTCCCATCTACCCTCATTTTGGACATACAGACAGTTGTTGATTATTGATGATTGCAAAAACAAAAAGCAATGTTCAAAGCTAGGTTGTTTGGAAAAATTAACCTATAAATGGAATACATATCGTTCTCCCTGAACATTAAGCTGGCATTGGAGAAAGTATTTTAATTAGTAGCTAATGCTGAGAGCAAGGCAAAATACTATTTAATGACAACAAATGAGATTGTTGAAATGAATTATAATACATGTTTATTTTTATACATTATTTTAGAAAATGTTAACTCAAAAATTGTTTGAGAACAGAAATGTTTTACTATCCAATGAGAAGGCTGAAGTAGTAAACAAAGAACTGCTACTCTAATGAGAGTTAGGTGACATGTAGGTGCAACGTTACTTATAGTCAACAGAATGTCTAAAGGGGACCATTAAAATAAATAAATGTTTCTTAAATGGACCATGTGACATTGAATACTGGACTAATGATGTTAAAAAAATCAGCTTTGCCATTACAGGGATAAATTAATTTTTAAATATATTAAAATAGAAAATTGGAATATTATTTAACATTTAATATTAGGCTACAGTTTAACTGAATTTTTATTAAATAAATGCAAGTTTGGTGAGCATAAGAAAAAAATGTTTACTGACCCCAAACATTTGAAGACTAGTGTGTGTGTATATCAGTTCAAGAATATTTTTCAGGAAATTCTAGAATACACACAGTATTTTGCATGTTCTCTGACAAGTTAACGCACAAACACACTGACAAAGGCCTCATCTATAAAACTGAACTGAGAGACATCTGTCTGCCAAACAGAAGTGAGGATGATGTCATCAGAGAGACAAAGAGAAAGAGAGATTTTCCAACATTTTATCTTAGTTTTACATGGAATTGCATTCACCATTCCAAGTAATATGGAACAGAGGCAGCTGAAATGTGTGTATCGATGTTCACAGTGCTGTGATGGCTGTAATAAGTAGGACAAGGAGAACATCAAATAACTTTCACATGCACACACACTCACACAGGGCCTCTACGATCGCAGTGAGGCATTTCACTGTCCGGTAATAAATAAGCTCAGGGCTGTTTCTACTTTTTATTCAAATATGTTAATTGATCAATCTAAGCAGAAGGAACATACGTAAACAATCCAATTAAATTACATTGCAACAATCAACCAGATGAATTTGTGTAATGCTCATATAGTCTTCTCTCTATTATTATTTTGCTTGGTGGTTTTGTTTATTCAGGTCCTACATCTTCACCTACAACAAGGATCTGATTGAGTAGAAATGCCTGATTACATGGCATACACCCAACACACACTCTAACCCACACACACTATAAAACCCCAGGAAGAGGGAACAATTACGAACAAACAGGATGGACATAGTTGTGGGCAAACACACTCACACACTTGTAGTTTAAAGTTCAGCCACTTCCTGTCACCAAAGGAAGTCAGGCACATTTAGTGTTTCTTAAGAACAAGATTGCACTTGCCCTTCCCCTTAGATCCTAAACACCTTGCAACACCCCTTAGTAGTGACCATCTGCCACTGCACAGTCTCTCTGCAGCATATTGGTCTATTCTTGCCTTTGTTTATGTCACATATCACATAAAGAGATGCAGGACTTTGAGTTTGACAGCCCTGCTTTGGCTCTCGCTGGTGAAATAGACCTGCTAGGCCCTGTGCATTATGGAAACAAAGATCTCTAGAGCCTTGCAGGATATTACACCATATCCGAGACGCAAAATTGCTACAAAACACAGATACACTGTGGTCCAGCATAAACACACATCTGTTGTCTCCCGAATACACTGGTTACATTGGTCAGTTAAATGCTTTCGTCTTAATCCCTAGTGAGCTGCCTACCTAGACAGCATTTCGTGCACCATAGGGGCATTTTGACCGTTTGGAAAGCGTTTATGATGTCCAAAAATGCAGTCTAGGTCGGTAGCTTTCTAAGATCTGATACCCAGTTGATCTCTACCTTGTACACATCTCCATAGGTTCCGCTCCCGATCCTCTGGATCAGCTCAAAGTCTTCCTGTGGGTTTCTGCGCGACAGATCCAAGCTTAAATTCATTGTGCAAGTCACCGTTTGCTCCCTCCGGTTTATGTACGTGTTCCCGGTGTCAAAAACGGGAGGGGGGTGATGATCGCTGAGACATACAGTAACGGAGGGATATGACGGTCCAGTCCCACCCAACTACAACAACATGGCCTCCCACGCGCATGCGCACTGCGACTGACAGACTAGCAAAGTGTCATATAGCACACGCACTGAGGATGGAGAGACATTTGTGCATAAAATAAGCCAGGAAGGGTTTGAAAACTTAAGCCACGATTAAAATGTAACAAAGTAATTTTAATAGATAACAAATATCTAACCAATTCATATTTATTTATGATGTTTTTTTAAGAAAAATTTAACAAGCATACTTTTCTAAACAACATATTTAAACCAAAACATAACAGTTTTAAATTATAATAGATATGCATACTTTTCTAAACAACATATTTAAACCAAAACATAACAGTTTTAAATTATAATAGATATAGGCCCGGTTTCACAGACAGGGCTTAAATTAAGATAGGATGTGTTGCGCTCAGTTAAAACAGCTCAAACATGCATATTAATCTGGGACTAGCTAAAGACTCGTCTGTGGAACTGTGGGATAGTGCCAATTTTAAACAACAGGCTATTGTTCAAATCTTCACAGACAAGGCTCAAGCCCAGTCCCAGACTAAAAAATTGTCTATTAAATTTTTTTTTAAGTGTACTTAATTAGACTAAACTTGGAAGAGTCACAGCACTTGCATATTGTTATCTTGTTAGTTTAATTGCTTTATTGCTCTCCTCATTTGTAAATCGCTTTGGATAAAAGCGTCTGCTAAAGGATTAAATGTAAAATGTAAATGTAAAATGCATGTTTGAGCTGTCTTAAATTAAAGCAACTTGCACTGACATATCTTAAAATATATCAGTGACATTGTTTTGTCTCAAGATGCACACCAGTAATGTTTTTTCCTAAGACACGTTTATAAAAGCTACTTAAACGTCCTAATTTAACTAAGGCCTAATCCTGGTTTAATCTAAACCCAGTCTGTGAAACCAGGCCTACAAGTTTGGAAACAGGAACACATCGAGGACAGTAGTTATTGTTAACTAAATACTATTAAAAATCGTTTTCAATAATTGAAATAAAGCTGAAATTAATTATCAAGAGATGAAAAACTTAAATGTAAAAAAATAATAAAAAAAAAACGAAAATGAGAAATGTTGCCTTGGCAACTAAATTTAACTGAAATAAACTAAGTAACGCTAAAAACGTTAAAAGCACATGTTAAAAAAACTAATATGGCAAAAGCACATCAAAATTACTTAAAAATAAACATTCATAATAAAAATAAATCCTCTAATAATATATAAATAGTACTAAAATAACTATAAATTTATAATTGTCTTATAACTAGCGATAATATCACAACATTATAAATTATATAGTAAATATGAGAAATTAAGCTGAAATATAAAGTTTGCAAAATATAAAGTTGCAATAATGGGAAGAAAAAAAACCGAACTGACTAAAACATTGTGAAAGAGCCAACAATGCACCACAACCATTATACAACATAAAAACAGCAATAAAGTTGTTTAGAAGGCACTATTAGTACTGAGGAAGGGGATAACATTTTTGTAAATAATAATAATATTTCCCTTAAAAAAGTCTTCATTTGAATACTGTGCAAACCAGTCTCTCACCTCCATACACACCACAATCATATTATAATCACTTAAATTAGTTGTAAAGTTATTTTTAATAAAATACAGCATAAAAATCTTTTAAATAGATTTTATTAGCATTTTGGTAATTTGTTGTCAATTCGGATTGTCCACAAGCATTTCAGGGTGAACTTATTTCAGTGTGAGTGTTGTATTTTGGTGTAGGTATGTATAAATGCGTCTGTGCTGCCCAGACTAACCTTGTGTGTCCTCTGCGCTTGCAATGAGCTGATCAATAACGGTGTATTCGACGCTTCAGAGCTTGATTTGTGAAAAGTTAAGGTTTCTGGTTTGTCAGTGCTTTCATTGCGTGTGTTTGAGGGGTCAGTGTGAACATTGTTTGTGTCTGAGGAGTTTAACAGTTGGTTGTGTTTGTGTGTGCAAATGATCTTCTTAAGCTGTGCAGAAAGCTGCAAACTCAGTAACAGAACAAGATGTCCACCAACACGAATTACCCTGCAGAAAGAAAAACATATTGACTATACAACTACAGCCTAAAAGCATAGAAATTGAAAGAGAACCAATACACATATGCTCAAAGAATGCACCTCTCCATCTCTCTCAGTAAGTGTGGCAGGGCAGTTGGCATGTCAGAGCTGCAGCTGAACTTCCTGCCAAATGGAACATCACAGAGAACAACATCAACGGCCCCATCTGCAAGAGGGATCTCTGAGGAACAGAGAAAAAAAAATAGGACATACGGCTCTTTAATTTTCTTCCCAAGAAAAAGATTTAAGCCCTTGTTTTAGTGCAGGTTGGCAGTGCTTCGCAGTTGTCAGGCCCGTCAGGATGTACATTAATGTCACCATGAAGTCAAAATCAACTATTCTTATTTTTTATGGAATATTGTATTGCAGTATTTATTATAAATGATTTATCAGTGCACATCATTATTTTTAGTCATTATCTTTAATCAAAATAACTTTGCCTCCCTCTTGCAGCGACGTCTCTTCTCTTCTCTGATGAAGTGTTTACAGGCGTGAGAGCGGGACAACCTGTCACTCACATGAGATACCACAACCATCCAATCAATTCCCATAGAACAAAACCAAGTCCTACATTTTTTCTTGTTCGAGAAATCCGTTTCACTCGGATATATGTCACAATAGCAAAGAAAAGACGATCGCAACTTCCATTTCATGCTGATTTTAACAATGCGGTCACACAGATTCCTGACTCGATCACAAAATGTTTTTCCGTTAACATCTGTATTTATCGCTGTCCACTTGTATACATAACCCGAGATGATTTTTATACTAGATGTTGGCTAAAAGAGGTCAGTGATGATGAAAGAGGAAAGAGTTTGTCCAAACCTATTGCAGAGGAACGAAGTAGCTGCACTCTTCCTTCCATTCCAGATGCTTTTAAGTTCTCTGCAGCTTTCTGCAACTGCGACGTCTCTGTATCCATGCCTAGAAATACAGCATTCTGAACACACACACACACACACACAATGTGTACAGTCAGACGTCAATTCTGTGTGTGAAGAGCTGCATGTGGTGTTCAGAGTGGTGTGTTTACGTACAGAATACTCCTGAGCTGCTTCCAACAACACAGCTCCAACTCCACACATTGGGTCTAAAATCACACAATCATTCAGCTGTGGAGAGAAAGACAGAAAACAACACAAAAACTATTAAAAAGCTCTTATTTTGTTAGTTAAAGGGATAGTTCACCCAAAAATTAAAATTCCCTCATCATTTACTTACCGTCAAGTTGTTCCAAACCTGTATGAATTTCTTTCTTCTGCTGAACACAAAAAGAAGATTTTGAAGAATGTCTGCAACCAAAAAGTTGATGGACCCCATTGACTTCCATTGTATGGAAAAAAAATACTTTGGAAGTCAGTTTGGCCCATCAACTGTTTGGTTGCCGACATTCTTAAAAATAACTTCTTAAATGATGACAGAATTGTCATTTTTGAGTGAACTATCCCTTTAATATTAATGTATTCATTTTGATTTTGACTTTGATCTTTAATATGAAATAACATTACTCAACATGTGTATCTGTTAACATTAGTTAATGAACCTGAACTAACATGAACTAACAATGAACAGTTGTATTTTTATAAATTAATGTTACCAAAGATTAATAAGTTCTGACAAACAAATGTATAGCTCATTGTTAGTTAATAATAGTGAATGCATTAACAACCCTTAACTAACAGAACCTTATAGGGAAGTGCTACCTTATTATAATGTTACAAAAGATATCAATTTCAAATAAACACAGTTGTTTTTCACTTTCTTCTGAAACGCACCACAGATGCCACAAAGATATTAAGCAGCACAAGTGTTTTCAGCATTAATAATAATAATAAATGTTTCTTGAGCATCAAATCAGCATATTAGAATAATTTCTTAAGGATCATGTAACTGCTGAAAATTCAGCTTTGCATCACAGGAATAAATTACATTTTAAAATATATTAAACTAGAAAACACATCTTTTTAATTGTAATTTATGTCACAATATTACTGTTTTTACTGTATTTTTGATCAAACTGGTGAGCATAAGAGACTTCTTAAAACAACATTTAAAAATATTACCAACCCCAAAGTTTTGAAGAGTAATGTATATCTTTAACATGCTTGATATGTCATGTCAACTACCCATTTCTTTCTTTTTGCTTGAAAAGATAAGGACTTGCCAGCCAGGTATGAATACTTTTCCCACCACTCACCCCAAGAAACTGGATATACTGCTTTAATGCTGTTAATAATGATTCTACCTTGTGTGTGTGCATTTGCCTCTTTAAAGTTCATTCTGGACCTCACCTGTTTAGGGCAAAGAGAGGTCATGGCCCAGGCTATTGTAGAACGCAACCCGTTGTGTTTCATATAAGAACGACTGGCCAAAGGATGCCTGAAGAAACCACACACACTGAATTAGATGGTAGACTTAAGTTGGTAGACTTTCAAATGTTATATTTAAAGATACTTACTTCAAAAGAGGGATACCTACAACGCAATGGTCATCGCTTAAATACACATTCACCTAGTTACACAAAGAGACAACCCAAACAGTAACATTTAAATAGTCATTGTAACTGTAAACATATTAGTTTATGTAGTATTTATTTTGTAGTATATATATTTTTGCATGAACATTTGAATGCCTGTGGTTCAGTGTGTGTATGAACTTATTTTCTTTTATCAAGTGAGTGTGCATACCTCAAGAACAGGCTCTCTCAGGTCCACCTTCCACCCAAGATCTTCTTTGATGGCCCTCCCAATGATACGACTCAGTCTCTGAAGACACACACACAACCACAATAAAAGCCTGTTCACACTAAGAATGATAATTATAAAGATAACTGAAATATTGTGAGTTGATGTGGACACTAATATAGTTTATTTCATCCACTTTAAAGCAGAATGGATTCTGATTGGAGAAAATCATTGTGAAAGTGATTCCAATGATATCACTGTTCTACGCCATTATCGTTATAGTTGCGGTCCTTGGTGTGAACGGCCCTTAAGCCAGGTTTATAAATCTAAAAATATTTTTGTCTATATAGAATCGGGTCCAAATCTGAGACCACCTTAAATATATTTCACATTTTTAAAAAACAAAATGCATTTTTTAATTACAATTAATATTATCTGCATAACACATGATATTTATTATATTTAATACGTTTTTTAATCCTTAAAGTGTCTATTTATTAACAGAATTAAATTAGATTTAGATTTTTTTAATTGAACCGCACTACACATACAGAACAAATGCCACTGTATTTTGAAAAGTATAAAAATTGCATACACACACACACACACCTGAGCGGTATAAGAGCGGGCAATGACTCCACTGCAGCGGCAGCTCACTCTGAAGGATGATGTGTGCTGATGTGACTCCTTATCCATTTCACTTGTTTTTTTAAATAAGTGTGTGCTTGAGGTGAGAGTGTGTGTGGATTCATCTGCTACAATCAATCTCTCCTCCTCATCCTCCTCTCTCCTTCTCTTGTTTCCACGCTGCTGGCTGGAATGAAGCTCTTCCTGTAGGGCTGTCCAGGTTAAGAGCGTCTGCTTCCAAATGTCTGGATCTCCTACCACTCTCTCCTTTATAACAGCAGCTGCCTTTGCTATTAAAATAAAACCAGTGAAGATCAGTAAAATGGGTTGCCTGTAAGTATAATGTACGTGTAGGATAATAACACAACTAAAGGCTTCTAACAGCCTGCAGGCTAAAACCAAATGTGATTTCATTCATGCAAATAAGACTTAGGTACACAGAAAGTTCACTCAAATTTTCCCATGACAGAATGGGAAGAGTTTGTTTGCCAGGGCAGACTTCTCATTCATACTCACCTGGGTTTTTGGGAAGTGAAATAGGTTCAGCTTTGCGCAGAAGTAAAAACAGCCTCTCTGCAGACTTGAGTTGTGTCACCGTGTACAGATCAGCATTGCAGCAAAAGAACACTCTACCTGGAATCTGCTCGACCTGACACATAGCACACACACACACAAAAAACAAAAAACTTTATCATCATTATTGAAATGTGGAACATGGCTTTAATATGCAGAACAAATATATCTAGTTAATTATGGACTGATCTTTGTTCGGACTTCTTTAATTTACTTTTATGTTCATTAGTAATGCCTCGCTTACATCATTTTAAATGCCCAGTAGTGGCTGTCTGGTGATTGAAAAAGTTTGGAGAATGTCAGTTTCATAGAACTTTATGAAATTTCATTGAATCTCAATGAAATAAAGGGTGATCAACTCACTTGAGAAGCGCAGAAATAAAGGGTGATCAACTCACTTGAGAAGCGCAGAGTTTGTGTTGTACCTCCTCGGCCAGCAGCTCCTCCATCCCCGCGCCTGCAGTGCAGTACAAGTGCCTCATCATCACCTCAAAAAAGCGAGCACCATTACAAATACAAGCAGCATGCAACTGTAAACACTGCTTTACTCTTCCGGGTTCACCCGTCTGTCAAAATTAAACCTCATTCCATTAACATATTTTCTAAATATATGATAGATATAAATCTCTGATTTTCAATGTTCATTTTATGAATATATATATTTAACCTGCCTAGTACCAAGTCTGTTTTCTTGTATTTTTCGCTCGAATTTATTACATTATTTATTTGTCAAAAAAAAAAAAACTTTTATTTCATGGAAACCATGAACTGCAAAGTGATTTTTTTTAGGTACTTTTGAAAAGTTATTTTGAAAAAAATATAAGTCTTCATGAGTTTTATTTGCCTTGTTATTGCGTTTCCGTTTTTCCCACTTGTCCTTTTTTCTTTTTTACTTAGTTAATAGATCCTAGCCTTTCCATGATTTCACAAGAAATATTGTAAAGAGTTTAGTGTTATTCCTCCCCACACATTTCAGCTGAAACTTTTACCTTGAAATATTTCCTACTGTCAGGAAAGATTTGAAAGCTTACAGCGCCTCTCGTGGCCATAGAACCAACTCTTTTAACTCACATGTTATAAAAACAGTAACTGTATGTCATTAAAGTGATGTAATACCCAAGCAGTTGCATTACGTCAATTTATTATGCTGTGAAAATTTCACATGACTATAAAAAGTACTTTTAGAATGGAAAAAAAAACATCAAGGGACAACTTTTATATAACAAAGATTATAAACATGAAAAAAAAACTTATTTTAAAACAAGAACCAACTAACAGAATCAGATAACCCAGTTTATAATTCTTTATATTTTAATGTCCATTGTTTTGTTGTTTTTTTGCATAAAAAATAAAATAAATCATTTTTCTGAATGTCCACAGAAAGGTGTGGTGGCAACATCTGTCATTCTGCTCTACTTCCTTGCCACTGCAGTCAGCTGGTCCCTGATGCGACCCAAACCGTCTATCATGGTGTCCAGTGTCTCTCTACTCAGCTCCATTGTAATTGTGGACTCACTTGGACCGCTGCTAATGCACGGAGTGTCCTGGAGCTTCGGTAAACACACACAGAGTTGTGAGAGGTATTTTGAAAAAATTATAAGTCTGAAATATGGACCACCACATATTACATCAATCAAAATTAAGTTTTAAACCAATGTTTTATTCTTATTTCAGAATAATAACTGTTGTAAACCAATATTTCATTGTTATATTAGATAAATATCTTTAATTAGACATATCTGTTAATAAAATAGTAATTTTAAATTTCAGCATATATTATGTCTGCATCTTACTTTCATTTGCAACAGACAGGTTGGCACAGCCATACGACTCAAGGAGTCCGAAGCAGTTTTCATGTCCACTCGCCACTCCATATCAACCAGCTTTGGCAGTGAAACTATGAAACACACGTCATAACTTCACAGCTTCAAAATGGTTTCATTATGGACCACAAGCATAAAATACAATGTCATCAAACATCTTGCAATACAATGAAAATATGAGAAATCACACTCACTTTGATTTGACAAAGCATCATTTCTCCATGTGACACTGAAATTTTTTACACCAAAAACATGTTATGCGCTTGTCTGCAGGGTACATTTCTGCAGTACAGTTATTTGACGGTCTAAAAGGAGGTTTAAAAGAAGATGTATCCACCTGTTTTCCAAGATAATTTTGGTGATCAGATTCTTTAGGTTAGAGTGGAATGATTCTGGGAAAATTGACAGGATCTGTTCCGGAGAGGTTAGATTCTGGTACACAACATCATGTGAGAGTGTGTGAAAAGCTGTCAGCAACTGTTGAGGAATACATTTTTTAAAAAGGATGTATTAACACCAACAACATTTATGTGGTTTTGTATGCTTTGTAAGGAACATTAACCTATTAAATCCAACCAATAACACCTGTGGTCAAAATTTACGTTTGGGTTGGAAGGATCTGAAAAGAGCTACTAAAGTAGGCCTATTTCTCAAAGTGATCAACTATAAATGAAAGTGAAAACCGTCTTGGAATTATGTGAACATGTTTGTAAAGTCACATGATGATCAAAGCTGCTTAGTTTGCCCATCTGAAAAATACAGCAACCATATTTGTTAGCCTATATAATGTGTAATAAATGATCCAGTAACTGTGGTAACATGTGGCCAGCAACATTTTCGAATAAATAAGTGATTTACAAAGCATTGCGACATTAATTAATATTCATTTATTGAATCTTTCTCACAAATGCATGAAAGAAAAATATATTACATTGCTTGCAACTTTCTTTAGGCTCTTATGGACCAAGCCATTTGTCTCGGTTACAATAGTAAACATAATGAAACGCATATTTTCACATTACCATCCGAGTAAAATACATGGTATTTTAGCTGGGATATATTTGAAGTCATATGGCATGAACCCACCTGCATCGCTTCACTGCTGGAAACAGACAGAGAATTGGCAGTTTTTGCGATTACAGACTGACGCTTGGAGGCTCCGGCTGGGAAACTCTCAGCGCAGATCTGCCGCACAACATCTTTAGACGGAGCCTGAATCAGAAATTAATAGTGGCAGAATGAACGGCTATTCAATGTAGTCAACAGAAATTGACAAACTGCATATGAATGAGTGACTGGTCGTACCTTTAACAGCAGTTGCAAAGCAGTGAACTGATCCTCTGTAAGAAAAGCCATGTTTTTCAGACTGAAAGTCTACGTCACGTGAATTCACGACAGTCCAGTGTCAAAATAAAAGACCCTAAGCAAAACGTAGACGTTATTGCCAACTATAATGGTTTGTGTACATCTCGTGATAGAATCAGTATAGATAGGCTTTTCGAAAACTTTTTTTATTCTCCATCTTTCCTTCTGTTCTCAACCAGTACAAATGCTCCAATGGCCTTTTACTGCCTTAAAAGCTTTTAAGAGAAAGGTAGCCTACTAGACAAAAAAATATTTTTTGCAGCTAGTCACAACTACATTCAAATAAAGTTTAGTTAAACATGAAATTAATACTTCTGACAGAAGTTGCAGTGTTAAAGGTAGTTCACCCAACAGGATAGTTGTCATTTATTCACCCCCAAATCGCTCCAGACCTGTATTCATTTCTTTCTTCAGCTGAACACAAAAGAAATATGAGTAACCAGACAGTTGATGGGCCCCATTGACTTCAACAGTGGGTAAAAAACTATTTTTTTTGGAAGTCAATGGGGCCAATCAACTGTCTGTTTACCCATATTTCTTTTATGTTCAGCAAAAGAAATCCATACAGGTTTGGAACAGCCTGAGGGTGAGTAAATGGCCATTCATTTTTGGGTGACCCATCCCTTTCAGAACAAGCATATTCACAATAGGAATTATGTATAATGAACATGCCCAGTAAACATACTTAAATGAATAGTTCACTTAATGAATTCTGTAGTTGTATTTTCCTATGGAACTCAGTGGGGCACAGCAACTGGTTACTGACATTCTTCAAAATATATTCCTTGTATGCAGAAGACAAATTCATACAGGTTTGAAACACATGAGGGTGAGTAAATGACAGAATTTTAAGTGAACTATTCCTTTAAAGTTAATCAACAGCTTGCTGAGTGAGCTTTTAAAACCATAGTGTAAGTGTTTTAAAGAGTCTCCAATGAACCATCCTTGTAGACTGCCATAAGAAACAAGTTGTCAATGTAATTAACCAGTTGTAGAAATACACTTGTTTTAACTCAAGTATCCTCTATGGAATGGTGCCACAGAAACATTAAATTATGAGTTTACCAAACCAAATATGCCATTTGAAAAAAGGCAAAAAGAAACGAACCCACTCAAGACAATAGGTTCTATAAACATTTATTTCAACTGGCTGCAGGAACAGCTCAAACAAGGACACCATACTGTTTAAAAACATCAGTGTATTTGGCGATCTTGCTTTCAACGTTCTTTTCTGCCTGCTTGGTGAGCTTGATCTGAATTTTCTTCTTGGAATAACACAGCTTGGCCTTTTCCTTCCTTTTCTCCTCCAGGGTGGTGGTGATGGCCTGGTACTTCCAGCCAACTTCATGGGCCAATCTTCCAAGCAGGGCAAACTAGAGAAAGAAAGCAGAAAATTGTTACGAGTGGGGCACTTTAAAGGCCCAGAATTAAGTGCCAAAATCTATGGGGTTTCAAATATTCTTGAACTTATAGCCAAGGTAAAACAAGGAATATTTCATTTCTGCAGCTTTTCGTCTCAGCTGGTAGTGCATGAAGTGGATTCATGGTCGTTAAAACTCATACTTGCTGTGGAAAAACATCACTGACAAAAAGCGATTTCAAATATCTTTGAAGAGACATCACAACAAGAAAAACCTCACCTTGCGTGTGGGCTTCAGACGCACAATCTTGAGAGCAGCTGGGACGACGATACGCTTTCTCTGTGGAAAAGATTTAGAGATGAAAAAAAAAGGGAAAAGGCCAATTTCTAACTCCAGGAGAAGCAAAGTCTCAGATAGTCTTGTGTAATCTCAGTTGACACTCAAACAAGGCAGTGAAAAAGGATCATTGACAGTCCTATTCTGTGCAATACTAAATTGACTCAGAATAATCTACCTTGTCATAAGGAGGTGGGATCCCATCAAAAACCTTCAGCCTGTCCAGAGCAGCCTGACCTCTCTTGGTTTTGTGGAAGCATACCTGTTCAAGAAAGTCAACATATTCAATCCCTCACACATCCATTGAAAGTGTGCAGCTAATCACAGATAATCTGTGACATTCAAACTCAGTAGTCAGATCCGTAGATTGGAATCATCAAACTGGATTCAGATTCGGGATAAATGGGTTCATCATTGTTTGAAGCGTAAGCACTGCAAAGAGTCAATGGAGGAGAAAAAAAGAAAAAAAACACTCACCTCTTACTGTCCTCCAGAAGATTCTGCTGGGGGCTCTGAAGTGATATGGTCCACGGGAAGGGTTGGTGTTCATCCTCTTGCGGAGGAAGGCCAAATACTTCACTGCACAAACACATGCCATTTACAAACACTTGGCCTTTTCCTTCCTTTTCTCCTCCAGGGTGGCGGTGATGGCCTGGTACTTCCAGCCAACTTCATGGGCCAATCTTCCAAGCAGGGCAAACTAGAGAAAGAAAGCAGAAAATTGCTATGAGCGGGGCACTTTAAAGGCCCAGAATTAAGTGCCAAAATCTATGGGGTTTCAAATATTCTTGAACTTATAGCCAAGGTTAAACAAGGAATATTTTATATCTGCAGCTTTTTGTCTCAGCTGGTAGTGCATGAAGTGGATTCATGGTCGCTAAACTCATACTAGCTGTGGAAAAACATCACTGACAAAAAGCGATTTCAAGAGACATTTAAAAAAAAAAAAAAAAAAAAAAAAAAAAAAAAAAACCTCACCTTGCCTCTGGGCTTCAGACGCACAATCTTGAGAGCAGCTGGGACGACCATGCGCTTTCTCTGTGGAAAAAATTTAGAGATGAAAAAAAGGGAAAAGGCCAATTTCTAACTCCAGGAGAAGCAAAGTCTCAGATAGTCTTGTGTATTCTCAGTTGACACTCAAACAAGGCAGTGAAAAAGCATCATTGACAGTCCTATTCTGTGCAATACTAAATTGACTCAGAATAATCTACCTTGTCATAAGGAGGTGGGATGCCATCAAAAACCTTCAGCCTGTCCAGAGCAGCCTGACCTCTCTTGGTTTTGTGTGGAAGCATACCTGTTCAAGAAAGTCAACATATTCAATCCCTCACACATCCATTGAAAGTGTGCAGCTAATCACAGATAATCTGTGACATTCAAACTCAGTAGTCAGATCCGTAGATTGGAATCATCAAACTGGATTCAGATTCGGGATAAATGGGTTCATCATTGTTTGAAGCGTAAGCACTGCAAAGTGTCAATGGAGGGGACAAAAAATAAAAATGGTCACCTCTTACTGTCCTCCAGAAGATCCTGCTGGGGGCTCTGAAGTGATATGGTCCACGGGAAGGGTTGGTGTTCATCCTCTTGCAGAGGAAGGCCAAATACTTCACTGCACAAACGCATGCCATTTAGCACCACACAATTCAATAGTTTCACATTCGTCAGTGTACTTAAAACCCAATATACTTATAGGTGGTCAACAAACTTACGTTTGTTGCGGTAGAAGTTCCCAGAGATGTTACCTTCACACCTCACCACAATTTTGTGGCCTGTAAACAAAGCACAAGAATTACTACTAAAATGATCAGTTAAACTATTTAAAAATCTGTTGAAAGCCATTTTATGCATATGACAATGGTCACAATCTGATTCTTAAAAATAAGTTGACAAATGAGTTTAGGGTTCTTTGAGGGCAAGTAAACATTCTCATGTGTGAACTGTTGGGTTGACATCAGACCCCGACGTCAGACATACAGGGTCAGGTCTGGGTGTCAGTGCCCAGGGGCACCAAAGAGTCTTAATACGCCAATGGCTACATGTGTAATAAACATCACAGTACTTGTAAACATGCCAGTGGTAAAATCTGTGACCAGCAAACATTTCAAATACATAAGTGATTTATAAAGCACTGTGACATTAATATAATATCCATTTATTTATTCTTTCCTTTGATATTCATACATCCTTTTCCCTCACAAATACCTGACAGAAAAATACAAAGTTGCTTTATTGTTTGCAACTTTCTTTTTGCTCTTACGGACCAAATGAGCCATTTCTGACTTGGATTCAATAGTAAAAAAATTAAACATACTTTCACATTAACATCCAAGTAAAATAAATGGTGTTTTAGCTAGGATATATTTGAAATATGGCATGAACCCACCTGCATTGCGTCACTGCTGGAAACAGACAAATTGGCAGTTTTTGCGATTACAGACTGACGCTTGGAGGCTCCGGCTGGGAAACTCTCAGCGCAGATCTGCCGCACATCTTTAGACGGAGCCTGAATCAGAAATAAATGGCAGAATGAACGGCTATTCAATGTAGTCAACAGAAACTGACAAACTGGATATGAGTGACTGATCATACCTTTAACAGCAGATGCGAAGCAGTGAACAGTTGAACAACTTGAGGGTGAGTAAACGACCATTCATTTTAGGGTGAACCATGCCTTTCAGAACAAGCCCATTCACAATAGGAATTATGTATACAACATGTCCAGTGAACATACTAAAGAATAGTTCACATAAAAATAGTCATTTACTCACCCTCATTCTGTTTCAAACCTGTATGAATTTCTTCTGAACACAAATTATATTTTGAAGATTTTCGTAACAGTTGATTTACCCTATTGACTTCTAGATATATATTTTCCTACCATGGAAGTCAATGGGGTACATAAACTGTCTAGTTACCAACATTCTTCAAAATTGCTTTGTATTCAGCAGAAGACAAATTCATACAGGTTTGAAACACAAGGTTGAGAAAATGACAGAATTTTCATTTAAGTGAAATATTCCTGTAAGTTAATCAGCAGACCTTGCTGAGTGAGCTTTTAAAAGCATAGTTTTAAAGTCTCCAATGAACCATTTTGTAGACTGCCATAAGAAACAGTTGTCAATGTAATTAACCAGTTGTAGAAATATACTCGTTTTAACTCAAGTATCCTCTATGGAATGGTGCCACAGAAACATTAAATTATGAGTTTACCAAACCAAATATGCCATTTGAAAAAAAAGGGGGGAAAAAACGAACCCACTCAAGACAATAGGTTCTATAAACATTTATTTCAACTGGCTGCAGGAACAGCTCAAACAAGGACACCATACTGTTTAAGAACATCAGTGTATTTGGCGATCTTGCTTTCAACGTTCTTTTCTGCCTGCTTGGTGAGCTTGATCTGAATTTTCTTCTTGGAATAACGCAGCTTGGCCTTTTCCTTCCTTTTCTCCTCCAGGGTGGCGGTGATGGCCTGGTACTTCCAGCCAACTTCATGGGCCAATCTTCCAAGCAGGGCAAACTAGAGAAAGAAAGCAGAAAATTGTTACGAGTGGGGCACTTTAAAGGCCCAGAATTAAGTGCCAAAATCTATGGGGTTTCAAATATTCTTGAAGGTAAAACAAGGAATATTTCATTTCTGCAGCTTTTCGTCTCAGCTGGTAGTGCATGAAGTGGATTCATGGTCGTTAAAACTCATACTTGCGTGTGGAAAAACATCACTGACAAAAAGCGATTTCAAATATCTTTGAAGAGACATAAAAAACAAAAACTCACCTTGCGTGTGGGCTTCAGACGCACAATCTTGAGAGCAGCTGGGACGACCATGCGCTTTCTCTGTGGAAAAGATTTAGAGATGAAAAAAAGGAAAAAGGCCAATTTCTAACTCCAGGAGAAGCTAAGTCTCAGATAGTCTTGTGTATTCTCAGTTGACACTCAAACAAGGCAGTGAAAAAGCATCATTGACAGTCCTATTCTGTGCAATACTAAATTGACTCAGAATAATCTACCTTGTCATAAGGAGGTGGGATCCCATCAAAAACCTTCAGCCTGTCCAGAGCAGCCTGACCTCTCTTGGTTTTGTGTGGAAGCATACCTGTTCAAGAAAGTCAACATATTCAATCCCTCACACATCCATTGAAAGTGTGCAGCTAATCACAGATAATCTGTGACATTCAAACTCAGTAGTCAGATCCGTAGATTGGAATCATCAAACTGGATTCAGATTCGGGATAAATAAGTTCATCATTGTTTGAAACGTAACCTCAACGAAAAAAAAAAAAAACTCACCTCTTACTGTCCTCCAGAAGATTCTGCTGGGGGCTCTGAAGTGATATGGTCCACGGGAAGGGTTGGTGTTCATCCTCTTGCGGAGGAAGGCCAAATACTTCACTGCACAAACACATGCCATTTAGCACCACACAATTCAATAGTTTCACATTGGTCAGTCAGTGTACTTAAAACCCAACATACTTATAGGTGGTCAACAAACTTACGTTTGTTGCGGTAGAAGTTCCCAGAGATGTTGATACCTTCACACCTCACCACCACAATTTTGTGGCCTGTAAACAGCACAATAATTACTAAAATGATCAGTTAAAAAAAAAAAACTGCCATTGACATCTGTTGAAACCCATTTTATGCATATGACAGTCTGGTCACAATCTGATCCCTAAAGAGAAGTTGACAAATGAGTTTAGCGTAATTTGAGGGCAAGTAAACAGATCTTATGTGTGAACTGGCTCTTCAAAGAAAAAAAAATTGTTATTTGTGTCCTATGACTATTACACGAAGTAACTGTCATTATGCATAATTGGTAAAGTTATATGCATAGAGTACAAGGACACCTTAAAATAAGCGGCGTAGCCTAAAAAAAAACAAGAAAAAAAACCTTTAAGCATAAACATACCCAGCAACACCTGCTTGGCCACAATTGCGGCGAGACGACCGAGTAGATGGCCTCTGCCATCAATGATCAGAACCTGTGAAGAAGTGAAACCAGGTGTTTTATTAGTATGGAATCGAAGGATAATTGAAAGTGATTCTATCAAAACATAGCTTTTTGTCTCAGATGGTAGTGCACGTAAAGTATTCTCATGGTCGTTAAACTCGAATACTTAATTGTGGTTGCGAGCTAATCATCGACAAAAAGCACATCTGACGTTAGCCATGTGTTACCTAGCAGATTAATACGCCGCCAACATCTTTTCTATACATTTAATAGTATAATACTATTCAAAACGTGATCTTTGCAAAGAAGCTATCCAAAACCATTTGCGCCGCTTGCAGTAAAACGTATTTCAAGTTAATATGCGTTGAACTAAACGCTTCGAGTCCATTCGTCAGTTACATACTCCCAAAACATCCTGAAATATAAGTAGCTCATTTATAGAGTACCTGAACATTGACAGCAACGCTAGTCCGGTTTTTACTGCACCACGAGTGTTACGAGCACTACAGGCCTGTGACTTCCAGCAAGACATGATGCGTGATCAAATTTCTCTCCCAAAAATAAGTTCTACTGCTTAAAACGGAACCCAAATAACGCAAACAGCGGCAGGTGACGTTACCTACACATTAGCCCTCAAATATCACTTTCCCTCGCTGAGGAAAATCGAGATATTTATTGTAAATCGCACCACCCGAACGCACCTTATTGAACCGGTCCGCCATGATGTGGGAAAAGAAAGACACGAGGGGCCGCCCGATGTAAAAGACAGGGGCATGGGCGGGGCTTTACGCATCATCGGAAATGACGTGTCAGACTCGCTGTTCTTCAGAGGACGTTTGTAAGCTGATTTTTTATTTCTGCTGCCATCAGCTGGAGCGCAAATGAGCTACAAGGGCTCTAAATTTACAAAATCAAATAAATTAATTTCTGTTGTGTCTTGAATAGCTTTTAAAGCTGTAAAGCAACATGTTCCTGAAGGCCCAACAATACAGCCTAAATCAACACACCTGATTGGCTCATTAGTGTCAAGACCTGCAATGGGTTGGTCAGATAATACAAATATCTAAAATGCGTGTAATTTCATTTGGTACAATTTTCTCCGATTAACTGAAACTGTTATAATTTACAAATAATTATTGATGCTCAAATCAATTGCTATCTTTTTGCACCAAGCATATCATTTATACCAAGACAACTTCATTTTTTTTTACATGTTTATTGACAAGAGGAGAAACTGTACTGATTTAATACATTATATTATTTCAGTGTTTCAATCATATATGTATCACAATATGCTTTCATCATAAGTTTACATAGCTGACTTCTTAAAGTAAGGCATCCACAATTATTTAGTGAAGTTTAAAACATTCTGTGTGGGGCATTTATTTATGAAATGTAATGTCTTGGTTCGCCAGTCTCAGTCATCATGTTTAAGTTTTCTGATTTTGCCCTCATGGCGACTAATCTCCTGTTGTAATCTCTCAATTTCCTTCTTGTGGTGGTCAATCTCATCCTGGTGGTGTCTTCTCAGAACAGCTAATTGTTCTTGCTCTTTTCTCCTGTGAAAGTGATAGAGAGGAAGAATAAGACATGAAATAACTTTTTGGGTGGCTTCAAATGGGTAAATAGCTTAAATAAATCCTTCTAAAGTAAAACAGTGCAATGAAAGACTGTGCGAGCTTTACAATGGCACATGGCAGACTCAAATATTGAGAGTGCTGAACTTGCTAATACCCATGTAATCATTAGAGATCTAGTGTGAAAGATGAAGTTCACAATGAGATCAAGAAAAAAAAAACTCACTTGAAGTACATCTCCTCCTCAGCGGCCTGTTTCTTGCCAAACGCACCTCCTGCCTGCCTCACCGCACCTCCACCGCCACCTCCTTTCCCAGCACCTTTACCCAGTTCTCCTAGCTTTATCAGGGGGAGAGACAGGCACAGATTGCACAAGACAGAATTGTTTATTTATTACCCTACCAATAATTAGTACAGCTCCATGGATTGTCAAGCACAAATTAAGGCCAATATACAAAGTAATTTTATATTATTTATAATATAGTATGCAATTTTATATATATATATATATATACACACACACACACATCTCAACATTTGAATACACTGTTCTGCTCCAGGAGTTTGAGTAGAAAGCAAATAATGTAGACGTATCCTGAATGTAAACAAAAGGGTCATACCACAAGGGCAACCTGAAAGCGCTCGTTGTATAATTACGTAAAAAAGTCCAGTGTTGACACGTTTTTACCAACGTTATAACACAGGGTTAAAGTCACGTGTATAACATACGCATTTATTCAGCAAACAGTTGACGAAATACATGGCAACAAACTGACAGTGCGTGGTGAACAGGCTTTGAAATACTGCGAAATCCTTTTTTCCCAGGCTACGGAAAAGTCAGGCCTATTTTTAATATATCTACCTGGTCAGACGACATCCTGATCTGTGTGGCCAGAAACTTCCTTATATTAGAGTTTAGAAACCTCGCCATTTTCTCTTCATGTGCTCATGTATTCATGCACTGACATGACCGTGCGCTTCAACGGCTCTGTATAGACTCAAAAACAGGAACGTACCATTATCATAGAAAAATAGGTGAGCGCTAATTACTTACAATCGCTGTTATCCACGGGTAATTTAGAACGTGAGTTTGTTCTATTATTGAAAATATAGTACAAAACAACAAGAGCTTATTGGGATGTTTTTGTTTTGTTTATTAAGAAAAAATGGTACATTCGACAACCGTGGATCAAATTGATGTATACATTTATGTATATATCTATGAATATATATAAAGAGTAAATATATATTCTTACAAACTACAAACAAAACTATGGCTGTGTCCGAAATCGCCCCCTATACCTTTAACCCTTGTGCCTCATTTTTTAAAAAAGTTACACATAGCTCCATAGAGGACAAAAATTTGAAGCTTGGGAGCACAGACTTAAGTTTGGTATCATTTTAAAGAAGACCCTTGGAAGACTATTGCTGAAGTAAAACAAAAATGAATAAGTCAATCCAAAAAAAAGTTATATAGGTTTAAGTTTATGAAAATTATTTATGAACATTATTTTATATAAAATATATATTTTATAAAACAAGTCGAACTCAAAAAACGGCTAGAAAATCAAAGCCATTAATATAAATAAGTTGTGTTCCAAATTTGAGGTTGATATCTCAAAAATGAGCTTTCAGTAAGAGTTTGTTTGGGCACAGTAACAGATTTTCCCCATTGGGTGCCAGCAAAACTCCACTGGTGCACACAGTGATTGGATTTTAGATTTGCAGTTGTGTTTTTCCTCTCTCAATATTACAAACACACATATATATATTTTTTATAACACACATACCAACCACACTCTGACATCCATACCAACACACCCACACAAATATCATTGCATAATATATCCAATTGGCTCTATAATATGCCGAAGTAGAAAACAGGAATAAAGTGAGAATTTGCTTTATAGACCAAACCTGAAAAAATGGCACCATCTGATAAAAAATAGTAAAAAATTTAATTTTGAAGCCTTGCCAACAGAATGAAAGCCTCTTAACAAAGATTGCATCATTTTATAGTTAAATGGCCCTGGGATTAAAAAAATGCAGCTTTATTGGGTATAAATGGGGCCATTTTTGTCCTAAAGGCGCTGAGTGGGAGTATTTTGTGTACCTAATGCAAAAAAGATTTTTTTAAGGAAATAGTGGTGAAATAGTAAAATTACAATAAAAATACACACCTGTGCCAAATTTTATGCAGTTAGCATTAACACAGGCAAAGTGATCAAAAAAACAAAACTGAAAAGACCAAAAATGGCCCTAAGGAGGCACAATGGTTAAATAGGACACTATTTTAAATGGAAAGGACAGCCATTTGTTGTGGCGTCCGAAGCCATAGCTGAGTACAGAAGCTATATATAAGTTATTTGACCATAGTCCAGATAGCCACACTTGCGGTCTTTGCACTTGACCACTTGTCTACATATTTCCTGTATTTGGCGTGAAGACCGCAAGTGTGTTTGTAGAACTTTTGATTACCCAATGGGACAGACAAACAATGCCCCGGTTTTGCAGAGAGGTCTAAAAAAACATTGCTGGTGTGGATCTTGAGACAAAACAATGACACTGACATATTTTAATATATGTTAGTGCAAGTTGGTTTCGGTTAAAACAGCTCAAACGTGCATTATAGTCTGGGACTAGGGACTAATGGGTTTATGATTTACTACCAAATTATATAATCTAATTAATTTAATTTAGTGGAATGTTTTCCTTGACATCTCGCAATTTTGGGGGATGTGAGTTCCTGAACATTCACATAAACATTAAATGGATACATAAAATAAGCTTATACCAAAGGTGTTGTGACGTTTTTTTTATTCATAGTGATGCAAAAGTTCATCTTTCCAGTCTATTAAGTCAATCATTCCAGATATCAAAGACATATTCCTTGGGGATAAGTATGAACCCACAGCCATATTACTCTAAGGATGTTACCGTTTAGGGCTTATTTTCAATAGGTGGGCATTTCATGGGCTCTTTAAGCCATTAACATGTCAGTCACAGTAAAAGCCTTAAGAGTCCGACATTTTGACATTAAATTTAACAGCCATGTGTATTCCTAATCTTAAAACTCATAAGAATCCATACAAATGCAGTTCCAAGCCACCAGCAAAACTGATACGATTCAGGGATTAAATTGAGCAAATGAGGAAAAAAGATGTGACAGCATCATGTTTCTACACATTCTCATAGTAACATCTTGCACACTCAGGCACAGAGAGAAAAATAACTAAATAATTAAAAAAAAATTCTAACCACTCATTAAATATTTTTAAAGTCACCTTTGCCCTTGTATGTTGCTTTTATTTCACAAAAAAATATTTATTTACACAAACGCTCAAACCCTTTTTTGGTTATAAAAGTAAAACAAAAAAACTAAATTATTTCAAAAGGTTGTCAAAAGAACTAAAATTGGAATAGACATTTTAGTAGGCCTTATTGAGCCATACAAGTTAAGAATAGCGGTCTCGCATAACATCTGTCATTTGAACCATGTGCTTCATTATACTGCAGACAATCCTCATTCCCCTCTGAAATGTTTTAACCTCCTCTCTCTCACAGTCCAAGTGGATTACACTAAATCAAAGTGGAAATGCATGGTTCTAAAGAACAGGAGGGGCAATTCACAGCTAAAATGTACAATCGAATTAAAACTATCAAAATCATATCAAGAAAAATTTCAAAAGGCATACGGAACGCACAACTTAATATCTTGTACACTGAATTGTCTGAGGCCATCTGAAAACAATTTAGACTTCCTTCCAGGGTGATAAACAAATCACAAAACCCAAACACTTAGAAAGAGGAATAGAAATAAAAGATAGGGAAGGAGAGAGAAATAGGCATTGATATCAGAGGGCCAACAGAGGCCGGCGGAGACCCCTTCTCGGGGGAGCGAGTGGTGAACGTGGCCCCCCCTGGCTAAGCTGTCAGTCTTGCTTGGGGCCAGTGAGGGCTCTGAGCCGCTCTAGCAGGGGAGGATGGGAGTAATGCCACATAGAGAACAGCCAATCTGCTACAGGAAAGCCCAGGTTGTCTTTATTGAGCTTGATGAGAGCGGAGTACAGCTCAGACGATCGGCCCATACTGCGCGCAAATGCATCTGCCTGAAACTCGAACCTTCGGCTCAACACTGTCAGACAGAACGACAGCAACTGCAGCAGGAAAAAAAAAAGAAGGTGAACATGTATCAGTTGTATTTGCTTATTCAGAAAATTAGCATTACTGCATCCGAAATCGCATACTCTTGAGTGGGTACTTATTTTGAATAATTACTTTATTTACTTTATGACTGATAAAAATTTAAGCTCTATCTATATAGTATGAATGCGTGTAGTATTAATGTAATCTGGACGTACTACATTCGCCATGCTGTCATTATCTCGTAACCTACCAGTTGAGTTGCTTCACTGCCATTCACAAATCCTCTCCAGAGGCCACATGGGATAGTTAAGTGTTCATCATATTCACACATCAGAATCTCACCGGAAGAAGTAGGTCATCCGGGTACTTTTTGCCTACTCTTTTATGAGTACTATAAATTTGGACATAATTCTTTTGTCACATACTGTTTTTCGCCTACTATATAGTTGGGAAGTATGTGATATCGGATGCAGCCCATGTCTTTTACAAATCTATTATAATGTCCTGCATGGATCATAATTTCTAATTAAAAATGTTCGCACGCAGGTTAACAAAGGAGCCCGAATTGAATTTTGAATTTTTCAGAGAAAGGAAGGGGCAGGAAAAAAAAAAAGTAAGATGAGTTACCTCATTGTAAGGTGAGAAGATAAACTGAAAGATGATCATCAGCCCGATAAGAGTAGGTTGGGTGTCATGAAAACCAAATGCCATGAAGAGCTCTTTTTGACCAATCAGCACAGCAAAGAGGAAGAAACACAGGAAGGAGTTCATCTGTAAAGAAACATGGAGACATTAACATCATACAATTATGGTCTCCTTTTCATATGCTCTTAAAAAGACAGGAAATCAACACTAAAACAAGAGTTTTCGGGGAAACTGACATTGCAGAATTCAAGAATGTGCAGTGACAAAAACAATTGATATAGTAGCTGTGAGAAATACCACAAGACAAGAATCCATTTCCTTTGTGAAGACTATTAATATGGTCATTGACACCTAAAGTTAACAAAAAAGCACAGCCACACAGACAGCAAATCACCTGGCTGATGACAATGTTCTTGACTGTGTGGCCTAGTTTCCAATGTCCCAGTTCATGTCCAAGAACGGCCAGAACCTCAGGGTTACTGCAGCCCTGTTTCTTGTTCTAAATAGAGAAAAAAGAAGAAAACATTTTAAAACATTGAAAATAAATGGCTACAAAATGCAGTGTAAGAGACGCATGGAAAGCCACTTTTTGTAATATTGTTATGGGGGACTACTATTTTTTTTCCTTGCACTATTAATCAAGTGTAGGGTCTGTAAGGTTTTGGATCATGTTTAATAAGTCTCTTATGCTAAAAACTGCATTTATTTGATTAAAAATACAGTAAAAACTAATATTGTGAAAACTTATTAATTTAAAGGGCCCCTATTATGGATTTTTGAAAGTGTGTAACTTTCATGTAGTGTAACATAGCTCTAAGTGAATGAAAACATCCTGCAAAGTTTTAAATCTGAAAGTGCACCGTATATTAAGTTATTGTCTTTCAAAAGTAAGAGTCGACTGAGTCAATTAAATAAATTTTAAGTTTAATTTTTTCAAACGAGTCACATGCCGTTTCGCTGTGACGTCAAGACGAAACATTAGTATATTGCCCGCCCACGTAGGCAAGGCAAGGCAAGTTTATTTATATAGCACATTTCATACACAATGGTAATTCAAAGTGCTTTACATAGAAGAAATTAAAATAATCAAAACAAATAAGAATAATTAAAACAGTTTAGAATAAAAAATAAAATAAAGTACAGTAAAAACAGTCGGACGAACAGTGGCACAGTGCTCATTCAGTAAATGCATAGCTAAACAGATGTGTTTTGAGTCTGGATTTGAATGTAACTACAGTAGGAGCACATCTGATCTCCTCTGGAAGCTGGTTCCAGCTGCGGCTGGCATAGTAGCTAAAAGCAGACTCTCCTTGCTTAGAGTGAACCCTTGGTATTTCTAGGTGATGTGATCCTAATGATCTGAGTGATCTGTTAGGTTTATATTCAGTGAGCATATCTGCAATAGAGGGAATGCATTAACGTCACTTCCCCGCCGGAACACGCCCCCCTTAGCGGGACTGAGTGGCAGAAGAGCTGCTGCGTGACTGGAGTTAATAGGGGAAACTGCGAAAACGCGAGTAAAACAAACTATTATCAGTTTAAACTAAAAGTTGGACTCGATATAGTGTTCCTTACAACTTATCAAAGATCCAGTGATCCATGGATATTGACATGCAGCCAGGAATCGTGTTTCCTGACATTTATATGTGCCTGATTTCGACGCCGGGGAAATAAATGAAGACAATTTGCCTGTAAACGTTTTATATAAATACAATATAGATAGGTCTAAATCCGAGTGATCACTTACATTAATGTTATACTGTATATCATCATATCGTCCAGCCCTAAAACTTGTATAGTTTTTAGTCAGTGTTTATTTAAAAACATCCAATTATGCAGAATATAGTCTGTTCTGTAGCTTTTTGCAGTCTGTAAAAATATACAGTACCTCAGATTTCTGGTCAAATCTAGTTGTACAGTCAATCGCAAAGCTCTTTCCCGTTTTAGATGTGTTTTGTGTGATTTCCACGGCATTCACGCTGAAAACAAATGCTGCCGCTCAGTCTTTTTGCCACTTGTGGGCGTGACCGCATTCACTCCGGCCGACGGTTACGTCATGCGCATACCCTCTATATTCTGCACGTATTGCACGCGCAGACACCAGGGAAAACTTGAACCTCAAACCGGCAGCTGATTCCTGTGGATACTGGATAGCATCATGTCGAGAAGACGGCACTGTGCTCTATAATGTTAAGGTAAAGCCAGTTTTTTTTCACTGCCCAAGGACGAGCATGTGAAGAATCAGTGGTTAAAATTTATCTTTACCACGATACCACAGCAGTATAATCCGAAACGTATCGGTTACCTAACGTAACCTCGGTTCTCTCTAGAAGAGGGAATGAGTATTGCGTAAGTTAGCTTAGGCTACGGGTAAAGTCATCTTTTCTCGAGATATGAAGCCAAAAAATTATCCTTAATTTTGTATTTATTGTCAATGCAGTGCAGCAGCTAGCAGACCTAGAGCAGGCTGTCTAGCGTGCTCACTGGCTGTCCTGCGGCAACTGCAGCAGCCTACACTGAGCCCGGCGTGACGTCGCGCCCTCATCGCGCCTTAGCCCGCCAGAATCAGATATAAGCGGGGCTCGGAGGCTGTCTCCCTGGTTTTCATTGACTGAAGCGAAAGTCGCTCGTGGCGCGAGCACGGCAGGTTACGCAATACTCGTTCCCTCTTCTAGAGAGAACCGAGGTTACATTAGGTAACCGATACGTTCTCTTACGAGAGGTTCTCTCGTATTGCGTAAGTTAGCCTACAGGAACTCTTTGTCAACGCCGTGGACCATGCCCGCTGGACCATGCCCACGACGAGGCCATGCCTCTAGTGGAATGAGCCCTGACGCCCAAAGGGCATTGCAGACCTTTTGACGCATAAGCAGCTCCGATAGCGTCCACTATCCATCTGGATAAGCTTTGTTTCGAGGCGGCGAGACCCTTGGTGCGCCCACCAAACGAAACGAAAAGCTGCTCCGAGTGCCTGAAGGGGGCGGAGAGCGTAATGTAAACCCTCAGCGCCCTGACAGGGCAGAGGAGATTAATATCGCTCTCGGATGCTGGCAGAGCCGATAGGGAATCAGATCTGCACTCTGAAGGGAGTGCCATGTCTAGGTTTGAGGATGACTTTAGAGTCATTCGGTCCGAACTCAAGACACGCAGCGCTAACAGACAGCACGTGTAAGTCCCCCACACGTTTGACTGATGATAGAGCAGTCAGAAAAACGGTTTTGAGCGAGAGGTACTTTAGATCCACGGAATCTAACGGTTCAAAGGGATATGCTCGAGGACCAAAGAAAGATCCCACATAGGAACCGACGGGGGGCACGGGGGATTCATCCTCCTGGTTCCTCTAAGGAAGCGGATGACAAGCTCGTTTCTTCCTAATGACCGGCCGCGCGTCGACTCTGCGAACGCTGCAGCGGCAACCACATAGACTTTAAGCGTGGAGGGGAGATCCAACAGCTCTTGAAGGAAGCTAAGCAACCGCGAGACCCCACACGTTCGTGGGTCCAGATTTTTGTCGGTGCACCATTTGGAGAACACAGACCATTTAGACGCGTAGAGCTTTCTTGTAGAGGGAGCTCTAGACTGTGTAATCGTGTTCATCACTCCTTCTGGCAGGACAACGGGTATCCGTTGATCAACCATGCGTGCAGAGACCAGCGCTCTGGATGGGGATGCCAGAATGAGCCGCGGGCTTGAGAGAGGAGGTCTGTCCTCACCGGAATCGGTCAAGGAGCTGTATGTGACAGCCGCGTCAACTCCGGGAACCAAGTTTGGTTCTCCCATCGCGGGGCTATAAGGAGCACCGAGTGGCATGTTTCCCTGATTCTCTTGATTACCTGTGGCAACAGTGAGACCGGAGGGAAAGCATACAGCGGGCAGCTGGGCCAGATTTGGGCCAGCGCATCCTCTTTCTTTGAAAAGAACATTGGGCAGTGAGCGTTGTCCTTTGACGCAAAAAGGTTGACTTCCGTTTTGCCGAAAAGGCGCCATAGCAACTAAACTGTTTGGGGATGCAGGGACCATTCCCCCGGGGGGACATTGTCCCTGAACAGTTTGTCTGGGCCGTCGTTCAGGTGGCCTGGCACATACGCAGCTCTCAGCGAGCCTAGATGGTGCTGAGACCAAACGAGGAGGCTTTCTGTTAGATCGCAGAGGTTCCTGGATCTGACACCGCCCTGACGGTTCACGTAGGACACCAGACATGTTGTCCGAACGGACTAGAACATGGTGGTCCCGTATGAACGGGAGGAAGCGCTTCAGCGCGTTCTCGACTGCCACCATTTCCAGACAGTTTATGTGAAGTAGCTTCTCGGTCTGACCACAGGCCAAAGACCGGTCTACACTCGAAGAGAGCGCCCCAACCTGACCAGTTGTAGCGGGCGCATGCGCAGTAAGCCCAGCTGGAGCACTGCAGCAGCTGAGGCCATAGAGCCCAGCATCCTCTGAAATGTCTTCAGAGAAGCGATGCAGCCTTTCTGGAAAGACGCGGCTAGGCGTTGAACACGGCGCGCGCGCGCTGTCGATAAACGAGCCGTCATAGCCACAGAGTACAGTTCTATTCCTAGAAAGGAAACTGACTGGCTGGGCAGTAATGAGCTCTTGGTCCAGTTGACCGTGAGACCCAGGCTTTCCAAATGACTGAGGAGCACTGTTTTGTGAGATAAAAGTTCATCTCTGACTGTGCCAGAACCAGCCAATCGTCCAGATAGTTCATAATTCGCAAGCCCTGATTTCTCAAGGGGGCGAGAGCCACGTCCATGCACTTTGTGAATGTACGGGGTGCTAAAGACAGGTGGAACGGCAGGACGGTGTATTGATATACCTGACCGTCAAAGGCGAATCTCAAGAATGGCCTGTGGCGGGGTATTATCTGAATCTGAAAATAGGCATCTTTCAGATCGAGAGAGATAAACCTGCCCCTCGGGCAAATTTGCGCAAGAAGTTTTCTGGTCATGAGCATTTTGAACGGTCTTTTCAAATGTCTCAGATCTAAAATAGGTCTGAGGGCTTCGTCCTTCTTGGGTACGAGAAAATAACGGCTGTAAAAGCCTGACTCGCTCAGAGAAGGCGGTACCGGTTCTATGGCCCCTTTGCACAGCAGTTTCGCTATTTCTGCGCGGAGTAGATGTGCTACTTCCACATTCACTTTCGTTGCGGTCCGTGCTCGAAAGCGCAGGGGACGCCGATCGAACTGTAGCGAATAGCCCTGTCTTATTGTGCTTACCACCCATTCTGATACGCCTGGAATCACTTCCCATGCTTTTATATGTACAGCTAGGGGCAGAATGGCCTCCGGGTTCTGATCGTCGCACTGCGTGGGCTTGAGAAACTGAACCGGAGGTATGGGCGCGCGCGCCCTCGGTGCTTAAATAAGGCGGCTTGCTGACAGCGGTGGCAGGCTGTTTCATATATGACGTCCCGATTGCTTTGAATGGGGAGCGTTTTATGATCACTTTGTGATGCGCGAGCAGCGCCTTGGCCGAAGTGTTTATTAGTAAGCGT